CTGAAGCTAATAATAATAATAATATACTACAAACATTTTGCCGCCAAAAGTTCTCCGGAGTCCTGTAGCATTTCGACGGCTGGATAAGCTCCTGGTACACACATAACCGTTTTGCCGCGGTTTTGTCTTCGTTCGCTAAGTCTCCACACATGCGCATTCTCGTCTCGCGAATTGATGTCATCCCCTGTAGTTTCATCCCTCCACCCCGCCCCGGTAATTGTCAGTCGCGGGTTCGCTATATAAAACATTGTACCCTTGTACTTGCCGCCAAATACTCTCCGGAGTCTGGTGGCATTTCGACGGCGTCACGACTGGATAAGCTCCTGGTACATACATAACTGTTTTTCCTTGGTTTTGTCTTTATTCGCTAAGTCTCCAGACCTGCGCATTGCCGTTTCAAAACGTTTTTTTTTATAGATATTTTTAATAAAAAATTGTTTAAAAAATGCATTGTATGAACCTATGAGTTTTTAACCACATTCAAGATATTTTGAAATATTGATTTATAATTATAATTTATAATACGTACTACCTATAATAAGGATATCGAGGTGGGAACTGGGAAGTACTGAAGACAATGTAATAGTACCACCAGTTTGAGTTTTCAATCAAATAATTTAGATTTGACCAACAAATCATAAACCTATAATATATATACATATATGCTAAAACAACAGAAGTTTATCCACCAAACTAAAAAAAGAAATATAGGTAAATAGAAATCATAATGTAATGTACAATTTATTGTTTTATGTCGCTTGTAAATCTTAAACATAAAAGTTGTAAAAGTTTTCTTCTTTACTGGGCCGTAATTAAGCGCAAGATTCATAGGCAACAGCCTAGGGGCCCACACCAAAAACAATTTTTTTTAGTATTAATTAAAATATTTGTGCTCTGTTCTATACAAAAATATATGTTTTGAGAATTGTTCTATAACTTTAATAGTTTTCTTAATTAATATTAGTTGACAATAATAATACCATTGATGTTGAACAGCTCTATTATTACCACATAGTAACACTATTTCTCTTACGTTATTTAAGTTGGTGGAAGGTGGAATGGTGAAGTGAAGTATTATTTTTATCTGCGCGCATTTCCCAACCGCACTACCCCTCCCATCCTAATTTTTAAACTCTTATAACTTTAAAAATGGTTGTCCAAAATTGGTTGTCAACCAGTCAACATTTTCAGTACATTATTGTAAATTTAAAAAGCTTATGATACATGTACGTTACCATTTTAGTTTCAAAAGTTGCTATCAAAAAAACTAAGTTGGGAGGGGGGGTAAAAACAAAACAAAATTGTAAAAAATTGAAATTACATTGTAAAAAACAACATAAAAAAAATCATCCTGTATAAATATAAAATACTGACACGTCAGTTGTATCAAATTTAAATTATACCCATTTCCATCGCCCTAGGAGGGGGGGGGTACATTTTTTTTTGTTTTTTGGTTTTTTTAGCAGTAGTTTTAAGAGTATACAGTATAATGTAGTATAGTGTATATTATAACGTTTATATTTACATAATATTATAATGCATAAATAATTTTTAGTATTTAATACATTTATGTGGAGGTATAACAAATTTTACATATTATCACAGATAAGCAGTCTGCAGTGAAGTAGTTTATTGATAGAGAGCGCCACAAAATTGTCTCAAAAGCAACTGCAGTACTTTTGTGAACGCTTTTTTTATTGCTCGTTGAGCAGCCATATTATTATTATTTTTAATAGTGCCATAGGGTGCCACCAAAATTAAATATATATTTATTTACAACAAAATTGGAAAAAATAATACATTTGTAAATTTATGTAAAACGGCGGTTTTTATATTTTATTTATTCGTGTTACCTGTGCGTCGAATACAGCAGTACCAGGAGTCCATGCAGTATAAATACTCAGGTAAAGTTTGTACAGCCGTTGCGGTGGAAAAGGCGGAAAAGGCCGTAAATATTTAAGTACCAGGGATGTATGCGCCGCACGACCAAAGTGAACCGCCGTTTGTGTGTGGACGGCGTTTCCCGCGAAAACGACCTTGTGCCGCCACGTTGACTAAAATTTCATGGAAAAAGTAAAAACGCTACGTTTCTTTTCCATGATAAATTTTAAAATGTCAGGCTACCGGTGAAGATTATACCACGATGACACCACTATAGAAAATAAAAGCGCAGAAAGTTATTTCGTACGTTGGTGTAAAAACGTAAGTATTACCATTGAGTATACATTAATGGTATTATTATTGTATTACTCATATAATAATTTTTTACTATCCATCATTTTAAAAAATACCTCTTACTCATCTGTCTTTCTCGAACCAATATAATAATATGTATCTTTGTCTCTTCGCCAAAAAAAAAAAACCTCACCCTTTGGCATGTCCTATCCGTTATTTTATTGTCTACGGACAACACAGTAAGTGATATTATATTTGATAAACTATGGAAAAACCCGCAAATAACTTAGGCCATGGGCAATGCGCGTTCCAAATATTGAGTTCAGTGATTGGCAACGAGCATGCGGCATTGTGTGATGCCAATGGCCGGTTTTGAAATATTCTACTGGAGTATAACGAACAAAACCGAGCGAAACGATTACCAGGGATACATGGGCATTGTGATGCTGACGGCCGATTTTGAAATATTCTACTGGAGTATAACGAACAAAACCGAGCGAAACGATTACCAGGGATACATGGGCATTGTGATGCTGACGGCCGATTTTGAAATATTCTACTGGAGTATAACGAACAAAACCGAGCGAAACGATTACCAGGGATACATGGGCATTGTGATGCTGACGGCTGATTTTGAAATATTCTACTGGAGTATAACGAACAAAATCGAGCCAAACGCTTACCAGGGATAAATGGGCAATCACGCGGGTCCTGGGGTCAAACGGAGGCCAAGGAAGCACGTGGCATACACTTGACGACGTTTCCCATAAACTCCTGGTACCGATCCCTCGATTTTCATTCATGTTGTCCTTCATTCATGTCGGATCCATTCATATTATCCGAACTCGCTACTACTACTACTACTACTACTACTACTATTACTACTTACTACAGGTACTGCCACTCATCTGCCAGCACCCCTGTGCCATCCAACCATCTGCCACTCCACTGCCAGCTGCTACTACCCCCCTTTGTGTTCCACCCTTGCTACTCGCACATAAAATACATCATTGATTTTCCAGCTTCAGTTTATTGCCGCCACAGATGGCAACGGCGCGGCGTCGGTCGATTCGCTTTGAAATCAATGTATCCGAGAATTTGTGTTTTTACTATCACCGTGTTATTTTATATCATCTCAACGATGGCATGTTACAATATGCTGCTGTTATTGTCCAACCCGATGTGTGTTCCACGTCGAGAGATGAGCCGAGTAAGTTTTGAACTAGTTATTATTTATTTTAGTTAATTATATACATTAGAGCGAGCGTTTGGATCAACCTAGTATGCTTAATACAATTAATTGACTTGCTCGAAAGCAGTAGCTTACTTGTTTGCGAAGCGACGATAAGCGAGAAATAGCGGTAAGGGTTGATCGCACGTCTATGGAAATGTGAAAAGCGTTGGAAAATATTTTTAACTATGCAATTCTAAAAAATTCGGTATACAGGATAAAGATCAGGAAATACAAAAAATCAAGCTAATCTCGTCAATGAAAGAGGGTAGCAGGCATTCAAGAAGAACGGTCTGAGATTGAGCAGGTCTTATGTACACATAGTTTAATAATCAAGATATTTCAGAAGGAGGCAGAGAAGTTGAGCAATAAAATGGATCAATCGAAGACGACCTAAAGCGTGGTGTCATTTATAACGTAAAAGAGTACTGTAGATAAATGACTAGTGAGGCCAGCAATTATGCATTGAAGGGAATGTTGGCCAGAAGTGATGGTTGTTCTAGACGATTTTATGTAAAAGAGTTTTTTCAATAGTGGCGATGCCAATTAAACTTTTAAAAAATGATTTTCCCGAAGTAAAATAGAAGAATTAATTTGAGTTACTCACAAAGAATTTTTTTTTTACATTTTGAAAAATACTAACTGTGTATCATGCAAGAAAATTTGTATTGTTAATAGAAATATTTTCTTTACTTAAAAATTATGTTATATAATTATTTTTATTTATTTAAGGTTTTAACACCCCAAAGGGGTAATGAGTACAGTTATTAAATTTTTACAAAACATTATACAGCAACAACTTATGGGTAATAGATATACTAATAGAAACAATACAAATTAAAAATATATACAATAAATACATGTACGCAAATTTTAATATGGGCCTAACAAGAGAGCAATATAATACCGTAAGACAATTAATGCTTTTAAACTCGGAACAGTTTCTATTTATAAAACCAATGGCTCCTAGAGCTTTGCTAAAAGTTGCGTCAATATGGGCATTAAATGTGAGATCAGAGGACAATAAAACACCTAAGTCCCTAAATATATGAGCCATATTTGCACTTAGATTGGTTAACTGAAAGACCGTTTGCGTTTTCAGTTGAATTAATTGGAAGATAGATTTTCAGGTCATAGGCAAATATTAAATATATTTACATGATTTGAACGTGACTCAATATCATTTTTAAATATAATTAATGGAAGAGGGGGATAGGTGGCCATAAATTATATATTATTATAGTTTTTTTTTATATATGTGATTTTTGATTATTTTTTTAGAATTTAGACAGTTACACCAATCGACAAGACGGATCTTCTATGATTGAAAATCCTTAGTTAAGTATTTTACATTTACTGGCCGTTATTTTATATGAACAATGAACATTCTGTGTATGTTTTAAGGAAAACCACATTGCTGATTAAAACGTGTTAATGGTGTGTGTTTTAATGGCGATTGTTGCGATTTACTACTTTTTATTACCTAAGTAGTAATAAGAAAAACGAAAAATTTGGTTTTATAAGAAAAGAGTTACATATTTTGTCTCTTTAAGGGAAAAAAAATATTAATAAATAATAATAGAAGAAAACTTGGTCAAGACGTGATCGATGATTTCGTTTCGTTGGACATCGGTTGAGGCAGTTCCGCGGAACCGTTGGTCAAGGCGTACTCGAGACACTGCCAATGGCCATGTCGGGCGGCCACCTCTGCGGTACGCTCGTTCCACGGACACCCGTTCTCGCGAGCATACCGCAAGCACTCTAGATGGCCGTGGCCGGCGGCCGCGCTCGTTGTCTGTTTGTTCCACGGACACCCGTTCTCGCGAGCATACCGCAAGCACTCTAGATGGCCGTGGCCGGCGGCCGCGCTCGTCGTCTGTTCGTTCCACGGACACCCGTGCTCGTGGGCGTACCGCAGGCACTCGAGGTGTCCGCCAGTGGCCGCGGCCGTCGTGGCGTACACGTGCCGCCGGCATTCATTCAGGTAGGCCTGCACCGCCTCGATCTTCACCGCCGACCAGTACCAGCTGGCGTCCCCGTCGGCGGCCAACGACTCATCGAGACCGCCCTCCCACGGACAGCCGTTCTCGTGCGCGTACCGCAGACAATCCAAGTGGCCATACCTGGCTGCCTGGTAGCACGTCGCCTTGTTCCACGGACAGCCGTCTTCGCGGGCCAGCCGCAGACACTCGATGCGTCCGTACCGGGCGGCCACGCGCGCCGTGAACGCGTTCCACACGCACCCGTTTTTCCGGGCGTGCCACAGACACTGGTCGTGCCCGTACTTGGCGGCCAACAGCGACACGAGCATGGCCGTGCCCCACGACAGCCATCTGCAGCACGACGACAGGCCTTTCAGCAATATCGTACAGCACGGCTTCAAGTCGACGTCGGTCGCGTTCAGTCCGTCGTACATCAGTCGTTCGTCCTTCGTACAAGCGTAGTACGCCATTTTGGCCAACGTGAACATGTTTCTTCTTATTCGATTTCTTAATAATAAACTTATCTTTATTCTGAAGCTGAGCAAACTTTCAACCCCAAAAAATTACACAATCGAGCAATCCATTGATTGACTGTACAGTCCTACTCAATGTTTACACTATTATGGTTGACATGATAAAAAAACTTAACATAACTACCATCCGCTTTTCTATGAGCAACAATTAACTAATCTTTGTTGTCAAATTCGTTAGTGTTTATATTTTTGCGGCCAGTACGTATAATATATATATATATATATGTTTTAACATAATAACTAGGTAAGCCAACAATCAGTTTTAAAGAGTGACTTAACTTGGGCAAGTTACACTAGGCACTGTGATTAAATTAATTGTTTAGGCGTTTGGTAATTTAACTTAACCTACATATTTCCATTGTAAATAATTCAAGTTACTTATTCTTTTGGAATATATTTTTTTCATTTACATTTCATTCTTTTACTATCTTATACATTTGAATCCTTTCTTAGTGGGCCTCTCCGTCATCAAACGGAACTACTGGTCAAATTTCATTCTCATAGACAATAATATAATCTTAAATTTTATAAATATTTAGAAATAACGTCGTAACGCCACACAGAACGATGGTCAGCAGCCATTCAACAGTGTATAGAGAGATCCGAGATTGGTAGTATGTATTATTTTACATTATTTCTCATTTGTATTATTTTAATACTATCTCGATGTCACAACAGATGTATATATTATTATAGTTGTATTTTATTTATTTTTATTTTTACAGTAAACTTAACGGATATGACTTGCTGCGGTATCATGGTATGTCACCTTAACGCCCTAAAAACCACTAAAATGGTCATAATGCGGCAAGTGTGGACGTTGAATTATCCGAAGATGAGTAAGTGCGGCTTTGATCTATTTATTTTTTTTTTAGCTGAAGAGATTTATAAAAAATGAGATCGGCAAGCTTCGATGTAAATTTGTGGAAATTTTCACGACTGAAATATCCTACATGGTTTGATTGTTTTTGTACGAATCAGATATCTGTTCACTGTCGATCAAAGCAATCAATAAACCTAACCCTACCTAAAACCTTTTTTTGGGGTGATTTTCTTAGCAAAAAAAAAATGGTTTACAATAGATTTTTGAAAAAAAATCGCTCTATGTTACACTATAGCCCCACTCTAGACCTATATTCAGTCTAATTTTCAGATTTATTTCACGTCCCAAAACTACAGCAGCCAAAAAAATAAATCTAAATATTATCCCACAAAAGTTTGGGATTGAATAGACTATTTAAAAATAAATCATCTGTTTGTATTATTAAACTATAGTCGTTTCATAAGTTATAGATAAATTAGATTAGATTAAAAACACGACGTTATTATTAAATAATAATAATATGTATGTTAGATATTCTACTTTCGTACATAGACGTTTCGCATCCGTTTGCGAATCCACTCTTTCCATTTTGATGGGAAATTGCCACCCATCATCAACGTGGCTTCTGTAAATTTATATGTCAAGCAATTCGACATGCCCGAGGTGGACTCTTGCCCGCCCACGAGTAGGTCGTGTATGTGCGAAATAGGTCCGACCAATCGGTATATGCCTCTTGTTGTGAAGACAGTTTTTCTATCCAGTTTTTTTTTTATGACGCCCACGTTCAGGTTCCTTTCGCGTACCGTTCCTGTTTCGTTTAGCAAAGATCCTGAAATTAAATTCAAACGTCTTAGGCTCAACGTCTTAAGGTCAGCGAACTAGTGATAATTGTTATCTGGAATTGAAATCTGGCGATCAACGCTAAAACGACTTTCTCACCTAAAAGTTTTACGTTAAGTGTCCGCGTGTTTATGAAGACTGACCAATCCTGCAACAATGTATAAGCTCCTTTGGGTTCTGTACAACCTAAATCGATTCTAAATCCGAAGTTTTCTAATGACAACTGATCGACAGTTGCTTTTTTTACAACCCCTGCTTTCAAATCAGCTGAAAAAAAAAATAATTATTTCTCATCAACCTTATGTAAACCTTATTATTTGAAAAACAAAAAATAATTGGTTGATAGTAATTATTATACATGTGCTCATTCATATTGGTTCAAAGTCTACCGTCATGGGAAGATGAATTAACACATACAGGTAAATTTACTACATTCAAAGTGTAATTTTCCATTTTAGATTCGGTGCGTTGCTAAGATTGTATGGTTTTTTACAATTATCTGGTAATCATATCTAAAAAGATACTTAACGAAATTAAAAAAAATTCCGCCTTCCCCTTAAAAATCGAAAAAAATATACATATTTTTTTACTAAAAAATTTTGGCACACCATGAATTTTTAAAAAAAATAGTTTAATTTATTTCCAAACTTTAGCGGTATATTATTTAGGGCAAGATCTATGGATACAAATTGACAAACCCCAAAAAACATCATGATCCCTTGCTTTGAGACGAGGTGTTATCTTTTTCTTTATTTTACTTTATTGGCTGTTGTTTTGAAACCTTAGAAAGATCTTAAAATTAAACTGAAGCATTGATTAAATATCAATAATTGAATTATTAATCAATGATTGAAGATTGATCTTAAGCGGCACTATAACATAAACAATTTTTTTTACAAAATATCTATTGTCAAACATTTTTTTTTTTTATTTATGGCCTAATGAGTGTACAGCTTCCATGTAGGATTTTTGTTCTATAGACTTGCTACATGAAGTACTTAACGGTTCAGCCGTTTGAAAAATATCGGACATAAAATAATAAAAACGAAAATAAAAAAAAAATTAAATACATCATTGTAAAAACAACAACTTCTCATAACCGCATCGAAGCTTAACGACATTAAAAGTACCCAAAATTTAGCAGCGAGTTGTTCATGAAAATATATTTATATATTTTGTAGTATAATTTTACGGTGCCCTTATGCGATATAAACCCATTTACACGGAAATTAACAATCGGTTTACTAATTATTTTATTCAAGCATAAAGTATTAATTATATACCTACCTTTTTTCGGCTTAAAAACGTCATTCTCTCCAGTTTCGCTTGGTCTTACGATTGTCGTCGACAAGACGTCACCGTGTAACATTTCAAATAATATTATTGAAATTAAATTATAGCTAGGTAATAACTAATAATATGTATTTGGCTACGACGATAAGTCTACACTTTTTCTAAACAACAGTAGGCCAACAATGACGTTCTGTAATTTTTGCCATTTCATTATTAAGCCATAGATCTGTCTGATGCCAACATCCATCGTTGAGATGGTCGTTTATACCTGTTCGTAGGTTTCTTTGACACCGGGGTTCAATTATTTACTTCTATTGTATTTTATTAATTAATTTATTATTAAGACAAATTTTTATTATTATTTTAATACATTTATTTATTAATAAGAAAAAAAATAATTTTGAAAAACGAACAAGTTTTCTTTTATCGGCGAGGACGGCCATTTTATTTGGCTCCGGTAAATAAAATAACAATTTTTTTTTCAAATAATTTTGCCAATACAATTTTAAACTTTTAAATTATTTTTTTTAGAATAATAACTACCTTAATATAAAACGTATTATACACGTTTGGCATTTTAGTAGGCATACAAATTAGTTAGGCTGACCATTAGGATGTTGCTACAAATTAATTAGGTAATCCAATGTTATTATCAGATAATAATATAATGTTAATACAATCTTATCGGTAACTATAACTACAGACATCGGTTTTCAATAAAGTAATTAGAAAAAAAGTTCTTGAACAAAAAAAAAAAACTACATATTATTTTAAAGGTTTTTATAACTTTGCCCGGTATTTTTCGAATCGAAACGAGCTCATATCAGAAATCAGGTAGTGTCGATCCTCAACGTTGAGTAGGTACATCTCCAAGGACATGGTTAACAATATGGTGAAAAAGTGGTTTGGTATCATCTTGTTTAGGTAATAATTTAATTATTGGTTTTTTTTTATATTAATATGATCGAAATGAACTCGGTGGCGACTGATCATAGAAAATATTTTCAATAGGTCTATGCGACTGATGGGTAATAATTTATTATTACGTCTTGCCGATGTATTAAACAGATTAGATACAATATATTATAGAGATCTGGGTCAATGACCGACGGTTTGACTTTAAAATATCAGTTACACTGCTGCAGCACTTGTCTCTTTTCTAGGCACTGCTAAGATGGGAAACGTCGTCTCTATAATATTACTCTGTGATTAGATAAAACCTTATCACATTTTTTATCAGGTCTTATCGCATTATCTGATAGGTAAAGTTGTATAAACACACAAAAGTACAGAACAAGTCGTATTGTAGGTGTTAAATCGTGGGCCGCGGATAAGTCTGCATTCTTACCAATGTCCATATTTTTTACACTCAAGAAAATATACCTAACGTTATCATCGAATAAAATTATTGATATTCACGTAACCAATTTATTTGCTCATAACATGTTATGTTAGCAATTCTTTTACCTTATTTGTTAGGAAACGGCGCACGTATTTGCTATTTTTATTTCAAGTAAGCTGTTCTTACGGGTTTTATTGCTCGCGTTTTGGTGAAATCTAAAATTTTCAGCCGTATTTAATAGGTAATTAATTTTTTTTTTAATCTATTTTTGTAGAAAATGGACGAGGTAAAATTGGACCTACAAGACAAATCCGCCCATATAAGCTCGTTAAACAAAACACCAGTCACTATTGTTCAAGAATACGCATCGAAAAGACATCTGTGCCCTCGTTATGATCTTGTGCACAACGGTACCAAACAAAATACGGTGACTTTTTTCTATAGGGTCGAACTACAGGGTATAGAGACGATAGGCGAAGGGTCGTCGAAAAAAGAAGCCAAACATGTTGCAGCCTCCAAACTGCTTCAAAAACTGTTGGAAGTGACGCCTGAATCATTTAAAAATGAATTTAAACAATTTGATCTTGGCACACGTGTTGTTTCGCCTTACGACAAAAATATCAAAGAAAATGCCGTCGGACAGTTAAACGACATATGTTGCAATCTTAAACTGAAATTGCCCGAGTTTAAAGAGGTGCGTGAAGAGGGACAAGCTCATGCAAAATTGTTCACTGTTAGTTGCCAAGTCGCTAAACTCATCGAGGAAGCCACGCACAAAACCAAGCAACAAGCAAAACAGTTGGCTGCTCAGCAAATGGTAAAAAGACTGACGTCCATGGATAAAACGTTAATCACTCCAATTGATCAGTCTGTATCCGATTCAATGAGAGTTATCGAAATAGTGGAACCTATCATGTCGCATAAGTTGAAAAAAAATGCCCCTATGGATGAAGATATTTCAAATTATCATTTGTTTTTTAAAAACAACGAATGGCCCAACACTGAAACTCTTGTTGAACTTGTTCAGCAAATGGACTCCGACAGCAAGTTGATGTTGACTGATCCCATAAGTGTTCTAAATAAAGTCGTTGAAGAATGTGAGATGTTGTTACAAAAGAATTATATTGATGAAAATTGTATTTTAGGACCTTCGAAAAAACATTGTTGTTTGATGAGCGTTAACAATGTGTATCCTCCAGTCTTTGGTATGGGAATCGAATTAAGTCCTATTTTGGCAGAGACGACTGCGGCAACAGAATTACTTACCAATATGTGTATATTATTCATATGATTATTGGTTGATTTCTTTATATTTTTCATTAGTGCATGCGTGAGCTCAAAGTAAAAAAAAAAAAAGATATCGGTATATTATTGATCTTAAACTATTTGTTACCTAAACCCCTACAACTTCCAACTTGCATTCGGCCGACTGATATAATAATACTAAATAATAATTAAAAAAAACTATGTAAACATATTTTTAAACTAATAACTAAATAAATATTGTATTCAAACAAATATTTTCTCGGTCAATTGATTGAATTTAAATTACAAGTTGTAAGGAACTAGGCATTTCTAAAACCCTGCCTGTTGAACCGAATAAATATGTATACATTCAAATATTTTTATAAAAATGTACTTTTAATGTTTTCTTATTGAATTTTTGTATTGTTCTTTAATAACTCTAAATTATTTAATCTTTAATTACTTTTGTATTACCTACCATTAATAATTGAAATGTTTTGGTTACTTTAAAATGATTGTTAAATGAGATAAAAATGTGTAGTTTTTTTTTTTATAATTTTACTGAATTAAAATAATGTTTATATAATATGTTTTCAAAATAATTTGTTTTAGTTATATACATACTGTCTATATAGTACCTACGCCATTGGTTTTACAATTAAGATGACCTCTTTATAGTAATATAGAGTGTATTAATTAGTCGAGATGATTGTAGATTCAGTTTAATGTAATGTTTAAAAAAAAATAGATAAGGAATTCTAACGACACAATAATTAAATCTTAGATAACATTAAATCAAACTTTGATCTACTCTCATTCAGCTGAAGTTTGACAGATTTAATTTCAAGTCTAAAAAGTGTCAATCTTCTTTTGCTTTTTCGCTTAAAATGACCCTACGGTACTTTATCAATTTGTTAATTATATTTCATTATTAATTTAATTAAGTCTATTGTTGTACATGTTTATTTGTTCTTATTCAGGGGCTGGATTATCATATTGCCAGATTACCGACAGACTACTGTGATAGTATAAATTATAATTCAAATTATCGAAACAGTTGAGTGAATTAATATATGTTAGTGATCAAATATGCAGAAAATCAGCTAGGGCAACTATTAAATAAGCCAAAACAGAATTATAGATTTAATCTATTCTGTGATTTCACCTTTATCCAACATAGGTTGGTATGTACATATTATTATTATATTACTGTTGCAGTGTTCATTAATTAAACATATTTTGTTGAATGCTGACGATATTTAATATATATTTTGTTTAACATAATTTTTGTGATCCATTGCATTGTGGAAATCAATTTGTTCACTTTCAACCGAACGCAAATAACGCCAAGTCGAACACCGCAGAAGCCTAACTGGACACATACCTGTACTATTGTACTAATGACATTATATTATAGTCCAGAGAACATTATACAGGATGATTAATAAAAGTAGCGACGGGATATTAAATATATTGTATTCTTTAGACAAGGTGTCGGCTATCCGCTATAATTATAGAGACCCGGTATAAAAATCAAAAAAAAAAAAATTTTAAACTTAACTCCTCCTCTATCATAATTGGCGAATAAGTCATCTCCATCTATATTGTTTTTTTATCTGATTACTCTATTATTTCTATTTCTATTATAAACTATAAAAACTAACAAGAACTTAAAATTATAATTCCATTATAATGTCATCTTATTGGTCGTGTGTCTTTAAGATGAAAATACTTTGAAACTTAATGCATTGGAAATATAAGAAATATTCTAATGTATGATTATTAAAAAGTATACTTATTTTAATTAATTTTTAAAGGTAAAAATGCCAAGTATAAAATTTAAATTACAAGTACAAAACTTTATTAATATGCTTCCTACATATATAAATTTAATAACGTTTGAAATGTTACAATATAAAAACATGATATTTAAAAAAATAACATGCTTCATGATAGAAATGTAGTTTTAAATGTAATTTAAATTTTAACAAATTAATAAAAAAGTCAAATATATTCTTGAGATCCATGAATCGTTTTTAGTATAACTTAGTATCCGATTTGAAAGTTTTGAACATTTTATTAAAATTTTCAACAGAGTTTGTAAAAACCAGCATTATATATTTATATTTTAGGTCGGAATCATAAAAATAGGTAAATGAATAATCAAATTATAAAAAATCATAGATATGAGTAGGTACAATTTCATGTACTTAACACTATTGTTCAGTATAGGACAATGCATGAAAAAAAAGAGAGTACTGTCCTACTAAAAACAGTACGTCAGGTCATAGCTATAATAATAATAATAAACTGTAATATTTTGATTTGGAAAGTGTATTTTATTCGAACGACGAGGATTTATTAATAAAAAAATACAACTTTTTTTACCTGATGTATCGTTTAAATTGGTGATTTTTTAATTATCAAAACAAACCGCGACTCGCCAATAATAATATTGTAATTTATTAAAATGATTTAAATATTTTAATAACAATATTAACTATATAACTTTTTTTTATTATTCGAATTTATCAGATTGTGTCTTCCTTTTTTTTTTGTGTCCAGCGTTTTGAGTACCACTGTACCGTGTTGTCTTATCATCATAATAACTGTATTAATATTGATAAACAAGACAATTACAGCTAAATAGTAATAATTACTCGATCGGGGAATTCGCGTAATATTTCGAATATATTACACTGGTGGTTAAGTATAACCATAATATAATAGGATATAATATTAGACTGAGTTATGGCGATTCGCGTGGATCGCTCCAAACCCAAAGTACGTCGAATGTGTTGAATATTTGTAAAATAACTATGTAAAAAAACAGCTCTGTATCACCATGGAGAAAGTGGAACGCAAAGAAGTATATGGTAAAACAAAAAAAAAACGGTTAAGTAGGTTAAAAAATTATGCGGTAATTACTATTTGTTTTTTCCAGACATTCCCGTGACCGACGAAAACGGTTTGCCCATTAGCATCGTGTGGAAACCCGATCGTAAGTACCTAATCGATTTTAATCCTATTTTGGAATCCAGTCCAAACTGGAATTACTGACCGCTTGGAACGTGTCCAAGACAGTTTTTTTGCATAACAGTAAGCTTTAAATTTAATACGCAACCTGAGCATAGAAATTCAATTTTGTTTTTATTAAATCTCGACACGCTCACATACAGACGTAAACTAAACAATCTAATTTTTTTACACAGGTTGTTTAACAATGTTATCGATAGTCCAGAACTAAGTTTCCACTGTCAAAGTTGCAGTTTTTTTTACCCCTATGAACCGTATTTGTATTTTCTGTAATAACTTACCTCCATCTTTTGATATCTTTCATTACTCGTTTTTTAATTTAAAATTGGCTTTAACCCATAACTGATTTGGGCTCATTTATACTCGATAATTTAATTAATGTCATCTTTATACATTTGGTTTAGTAATGTTTATTATAAAAGTTATGTTCTTTTCTTTTTATTGATACAACTTTTGATTTATAATGTGTAATCTATTTATTTGTATGCTACACTCTTGCCTTCGGAGCGTTGAATATATTATTATTATTATTTTATAATAACAATTATAAGGAAACCTATTCCTTTATTTATTTAAAAAAAAAAATCCATTGTACCTACCTAGTTCAATTTTTTTATTTTCTGCTGTTTGTAGTCTTAATAAACCACATGATTAAAAGTATGTTTTAAACAAATTTTTTGTTGACACAAAATTAATGTATATGTGTTAATTTTTGTTTTTGTAAATGACAGTCTACAAACTACAACAGGAATCGCCTAAACCTCAACCAGTGTTTGCGTCCAGTGCGGTATCGGGGTGCCCATTCTTCTATGGCCTAGAATATCACGGAGCTATGAATCATAAAGAGGCGAATTCGTTGCTTAAACATGAAGGCAACTACCTAGTTCGATTGAGCGTCAGCTCGGAAGAAAAAACGTACACCCTCTCTTTGAGGTTAGCGGTTTGAACAATGTTAACTTGTATTTAAATTTATTCAACTGTTTTAATTATACATTAGAATCTTTGGACGAGTGCACCATTATAAGTTATTCTACGACGGACAGCATTATGTGTCTCAGAAGAGGTTTAATACGATAAATGATCTCGTAGCCGACGGACTAGTAAGTTTATTTGATGTATATATATATATATATATATTTTAGTACTGAAAACAATAATCAAAATATGTACTTCCAAACATTGGTACAGTTTATAAAGCCTTGCTTAATATTATCCACTAAAATGTCTAGACCCTTAGGTCTTCTTTAACCACGTTCGTCCACCCATTTCATTCTTATTCCCTGTGGTTGCCATTCTAATGCTGTTCTAACAGTATATTTTTCTTCTATTCTTATTATGTGGCCTAGCCATTGCCATATTTGCCATTTGATGAAACTAAAAATTGGGTTAAAATTAAAACAAAATATTTTATAATCAACTGTGGAGCTCAGTGGTTAAAGCGTCAATCTCGATGTTAGATCTATTGGGTTTGAGTCCCGCACACTGCATAACCCTCCCTCAAACAAACCTTGCTTACGTGGTTGCGTAAAATGAATGTAAAATTAACACTTATTGAAATCTTAGGTAACATTATACATGGAATCTAAGGCTGGAAAATACATTCACTTGATGCACAGTCTAATAAGCTACGAGAAAAGTCCGTATATGACTCTGAACAAGTTAAAACGCAAAACCATCAAAAAATTAAAACCCACACAATTGAACGCTGAAGAATTTGTGGACTACGACAAACCGCACAGTTTCAAAACACATAATTTCAAAGGACTCAATTGGTGCGAGTTGTGTGGCAATTTTTTGTGGGGATTCACACAACAAGGTGTTAAATGTGAAGGTACATTATCCTACGTCTACCATTTAATGAATAATATACAAACTATCAGTAAATATATACATTTTTTTTTTTTAGATTGTGGTTTTAGTGCACATTTCAAGTGCTCTGAAAAACTACCGGCTGACTGTTGTCCAGACTTGAAAATATTCCGTGGAGTATTTGGAATCGATCTAACGACTCACGTAAAAACCTATAAAACTAACCGACCTTTTGTGGTGGATAAATGTGTAGAAGAGATAGAAAAACGGGGTATGTCTGTCGAAGGAATCTACAGGGTGTCTGGATTTCAGGAAGAAATGGATAGTCTTAGGTTGGCATTGGATAAAGGTAAATTTTTCAGTTTCTTGTGTACAATTTTCATTGTCGAACATTTAACGAGTGGACGTAAATGTTTCATATTTTATTTTCATTAATTTTTTTTTAAAATCGAACAGTGTTAAATGTTTAAATGTTAATAAAGGTTTAACTAGAAGTGAATTTAAAATGTTTATTTATATTAAAGTCTCTTATAACGTTTTGAAACAAGCGACACATGATTTTAAAGAAAGTGATTTTTATTTTAGATGGAAAAGCCACAATAATGGGCGATCAAGCCTATGAAAATATTCATGTTGTTGCTAGTATTTTAAAAATGTACTTGAGATTGCTTCCGATACCATTGATCACTTTCGATGTACATCCTCTGATCATAAGAGCTTTAGGTATGTTCTATTTAAAAACGGGTCAATACGTTGAATCGTACATTTTTTAGTTTTACTGGAAAACATGTGTTGGGTAATAATACTGTAATTTTTTTTTTTTTAGACATTAATATGACCTGGGAGAGACTGGCGGAAGTTAGTACTGCGTTAAAAAAATTGCCACCTGCACATTATAACACTTTAAGTTATCTTATGGCTCATTTGCACAGGTAATTGTGTATAAAATATTGATTATCTATATTATATACAAGTATAAAATATTTTTAAGACTCCTATTTTTTTTTTAGTATATAAACAACTTTATTTAAAAAAAAAAAAATATATAAAGTGAGCTGCACGTATTTTGTGTTGCCGGTCGATACAGCATACTAATCAATTACATAATTGACATTAACATGATATATAATATAGTTATTACTATGTAAAATGGCAAATTGTAAAATGGTAATTACTAATTAGTAATTGTATGTGTATTGCTCAATTATAATCACATTGTCTCATTAAAATATATTGTAATTGATAAATTATACTAAATTAAGTGAACTCATTTGTGGTTTTTTTCTATTTAGTTATAATTTATAGTTTGAAATGTTTAGCCGTTACAATAGTGTTTTTAATTATTATATGTTAGTTGACCAATACACTTAACATATCGATAGCTTCATTTTGAGTAAAACTATAGAAAAAAATATATAAAATACATAAGCACATTTTATAAATGATTTATTTTAATAATAACTAACTAAATTGTTTGTTCCAGAGTGACATTGCAGTCGGAAGAAAACAAAATGACAGCTCAAAACCTGAGTACTGTTTTTGCACCAACTCTTATGCCTATGCCGGACTTGATAGCTTTCAAAGGCGCTATTCCAGATATGAACCGTGATATAAGTGCTTTGCACATGATAATTGAAAATCAAAATGTTATTTTTGATTGATGTATTAGTTTATTTAATCTTTATCAATTTGTGGGTGTATTCAACACAATTCAACCATCCAATGTTTTATTTATTTTTATCAGTATTAATTTTTTTATTAGGACAGTACTTTTTTTTTTTTTTTTAAGAAGTATTGTAAATTTTATAATCATTAAATTTATATATTTATATATTTTTTTACTTGTTATTTTGTTTGTATTATATTTATTTGTCCATCTTTAATATTATATATTAAGGTAATAACAACAATTATTTAAGTTAAATAATAACTCGATGAACTTTTTTATATTCATACAGAAGATAAAGAAAACATTGTCGTAAAACTACAAAAAATATCTGAGTATCTAAATATTTTTTTTAAATACTTATTGACCGATATCAAGATATTAACATTTTATTCTACCTACAGTCTTGTATAATATTTTCCGTTATCACTAAATAAAATAATGATATCAATCAATCTTTTTTTTTTTTTTGTTCATCTTTAAAATTTATTATTTGCTTAAAACTCTGACTGTGTGTAGTTTTAAACTCTATGACTTTAAAAATTATTTATACATTTTTTTATTTGATTTAGACAAAATTGAATTTCGTCCTTTTTAATGAAAGTATTTCTTTAATTTGTTTAAATACTCTTTGATACTAATTTAATGCAAGCACTCATTACTGTGTTATTTACTTTTAACTTCCATCAATAGTTAGACTATGTTAAAAACTATTTTTTATTAAAGGTGTTGTTATAGAGAACCTAGTTTATAAACTTAGAACACTTCGCTTTTATCGTCAAATTCTCCATAAACTTCGATCCACTGCGCATTATAATAATTGTACTTGCATTCTATTGCATATTCAGTTCATCATTAAAATTTTACTTATGAAGAGCATGATCTACATGATTACATATTTGGCGACAAACATTTACTAGATAAATTATGTAACTGTACTTCGTAATATCATATTATATTGATAACAAATTAACGAGCTCAGTTTCTACGAGCGACTGAAGAAATTAAATGTAAATAAATAACAATCATTTTTTACCTGATATAATAATATAATATATCAAAACAAACATATTTTGTTACAAATAAAACATTCTATAAAATAATAATAAACACAGTTTATAGCAATTGTGCAGTGGAATTCGCTGCAATATCTAATAACCTCCATGCAGCCTTAGGATTCATTTCATTAATGTCTCTACACATTGCCCACGTGTACATGACTCTATTCACAGTGTGCGGGTCTCCTTCGACAATTACACCGTTAATATCTTTGATGTACATAATTTGCTGGGCACTGAACGATATTATTATCACTGGTCCGTGTTCCATCAGCTTCCCAGTAGCTACGTCGACATTGTGTATGTCTAAAACTTTGCAGTAAGCCTGATTTCCCTTTTGGCGATGTTCATTTATTGGATGTGATAATACTCTATACGGCGCTTCGAAACACCAGTCCTTAAGGATTTCTAAATCTTGACGTGCCATGGCTTCTAGTACATTTGGTATTATATCAGTTTCACACTGACGAATGAAACTGTCCAAACTAAAATTTGGCTCAACACGACATATTTCGGTCATTACGTCCGACATTTGAGCATTGTCAAAGACCGATGATACTGTGTTTGTAATCGAGCGACTGGCACGTACTAAAATGTTGTCACTCTCGTCGTAACGACTTTTAAGATCTGATAACTTTTGCACAAACGCACTATTGGCTTTGAACTGTTTCCAACTTTCCATAATCCTAAAAAATAAATGATCATACAATATTATAAAGTTGAAAATATTGCTTTAAAACATTTTAAATCTGGGTACTATTTACTTATTGTACCAATTATGAAAAAATTTCACCAATTAAACAGTTTAAAATTTAAATACTTGAATTAGTTGTTAGTTGATATTTTAACGAATTCATTTTATATCGCAAATATTTTTTCTTCTTTTTTTTATAGTAGGTACTACTATTTTAATACGTTGACTGCCACGGTACTGAAAAATACTGTTTAAGCTACGAGTTATTTCGTAGTTGGCGGTCGGCGTGTTAAGCTTAAAACATCTCTATGCTACTACATAAGAATCTAGCCGAAAATTTGGAAAGACAAAATTTTCTGTGAAAATCAATCATAATAAAAAATGTATACAATATCTGTCTTATTTTTTTAACTACTTTTGTGAGATGTTATTAAAAAGTATATGACTGTATTCGCTTTACCTTCCTACAAGAGTTCCCTGTTTTTAACCTAGACAGTTGCCAGCCCTGTGAGAAAAGCGGCCAACAACTCAAGTTTCGAACTGCGGCGAGTGTGTGAAAGTGTTGCCGTGTTAATCCACTTGGGCAATGGCGCCTCGTCATAAAGAATATATGCTTAATTTCGAGAAAACATCATCATATTAAATGTGAAGAAATTTATGTTAAAATGTTAAATGTGTTAGGTATAGCTTTAGAACATGTAGGATATGCTGCAGGATGTCTTAACAGCAAACAATGGTTTTTAGATCCTACTTATTAAGCGTCACAACAAATTACTAGATAGATCAATTTATATATTAACTAACTATTTAACTTAAACGAGTGACTAGTCAGTGTTAAGCTGAGAGCTACACGGTAAAATTTAGTTAGTACATATTAAATTGGTAATACGATTTTGCAAGCCTACGTCAAGTGTATTTTAATGAACAGAAAACATGTTTTTTGTTTCTTATATTGACGCCCATCTCTGATTAATATAAAGGTTAATCGACGCCAATGGTCCAAGTGTTGGGGTCTAATTACAATAATTTAAAACAAATACAAAATTGCTTACATTGAATCTTTGTGAACAGTAACTCCAGTTTCTGTCTCGTTTATGGCATGAGTTTGTTGTGGACCTACATCAGATCGTTTTCTCAAAATTTTAGGAGCTTTGTATACCTATAATATTAATAATGTATTAATAAAAATCGATTGCAATGTATGTGTAACCATTATGTGCTACTGACTTGTGAGTTCAATGATGTTTCGCTATTAATTTGTTCTGAGATGGCTTCGGCTGTACTAGAAATTGACTTAATAGGGCCAGACTGACCGAGCTTAGTGCTACCTTCGACCACCGTTTTTCCAATATTGCCACCCAATTGTCCTAAAATCAAAAACTCATAAAATTAAATTCGATGTCCTCGACATTGACATTCGATTGGATGAGTTACCTGCTTTTTTGGCTATATCAGACTGACTAGCTTGGTCGAATATGTGTTTGGCTCCCGACACGACTACGTCCTTGGCGCTTTTGACTTGTTGTGTCACCTTAAATGTGCCCGACTCTAAGGTGTTCAATCTCTGTCTGGAAACGATAATAAGTAAACGCCTTGTCGGCAGTACGAGAGCTCGCATGCTCGGCGGCGCTTGCTTACCTGGCTTTAATCAGATTGTCTGACTGTTCTAGTTTTTTTTTCTCGGCACGAAACCGTTCCAAGTTCTCTTTCATTTCTTTGTTCTTGGCCATTTCGTCTCGTATGTCTTGAATAAGCTTCATGAAGAAATTTGGCCTCTGCGGCGTCGAGTAACATCGTAACTGCTGAAATGGCCATTGAAATTAAATACACATAAATTTGAATTGCACACTCGTCGAATTGTATACTTACTACATAGCGAACGGAATGCATGACTTAATTTCAATTTTAAAGGCTTAAAAACTAATTTTTTTTCAAAAAAAAAAATTTCCTAAAAGAATTAACCACTAACCAGCCGATAACCCGGATAACCTCAAAAAATGTAATATCAACGATCGATACAGAATGATACCAAACGGACTTCCTATCAAAACAATAGTCAACTGTCAACTGCACTCAACACAATATTAAAACTTAAAAGCCTGTTCGAGTACACTTCACCGTCGACCGTTGACTTTAGCTTGGACAAGATGGAAAAACCTCCTAAGATCCCAAAGGTGGCCAAGGTATGTAATGCATACGAAGTGCGCGTACACAAACCTATTGTAATATGTTTTTTTTTTCATTTGATTCGCAGGTGAAAAACAAAGCGCCAGCAGAGATACAAATCACTGCTGAGCAGCTTTTGAGAGAAGCAAAAGAACGAGATTTGGAGATTGTGCCACCAGTAAGTGTTGTATATTTCGTTAGTAAAATTATCCCGTAGAAAGAATTAATTTAGTAGGCTGCATCGGAACATGGCCACAAGTTTTCGATGTAAACGCGTCGCCTGTGAATTAAAACAACCAAATGCGCTTTCCACTAGGGTACACCCATCGGTGTAAGCCGACATGGGTCTATTTTTTTATTTATAATATTTTATCTATCAATTTAGCAATATTTAAATAACAAATCGTCATTTCCACGGGTTAGTTGAAATTTATTTATGTTAAATTCAAATATAAATTTCACACCACAACAAACGATTAGATTTACACCAGTAGTGTTTAAACCCATGACTCCTTTAGACACAATATTCTGACGGCTCCCAAATTATTAATTCTCCACTATACGGTGTAGACTAATCCATAACCTATGCAGCTCCCTTGACCAACTCCCCTAAGAACCGCGACGTATAGTTTGAATACTTTTATCAATACCTTTGGGCATTAGAATCCCCAAATAGTGAAATAAATTATTTAACCCTTGAACTGTCTTGTAATATAATTTGATTTACATTGTAATAATCGTTAGTTTTTTTAGGCACAATGTATGATTTTGATATTTTATCACGTAGAGCAATTTTTTAGAAAATTTAGACATAATTTTAGTATTAAAGTTATAATAATTGTTTGTTTTTACTTTAAAAATAGCCACCCAAGCAAAAGATTTCGGATCCCATAGAGTTAAGGGATTATCAACAAAGGAAACGTCGCGCCTTTGAGGACAATATTCGTCGGAATCGTTCAAATATTAGTAATTGGATAAAGTACGCCGCTTGGGAAGAAAGCCAAAAAGAAATCCAGAGGTACATTTAACGTTGAAGGACAATAAAAGTTTTGAAAAAGATTTTGTATTCTTACAAGCCTTTTCACTTAAAATTGCTTATGATTTCAGAGCGCGATCAATTTATGAGCGAGCTTTAGACACTGACCATCGAAATATAACATTATGGCTAAAGTATGCAGAATTGGAAATGCGGCATCGACAGGTTATGCACGCCAGAAATCTTTGGGATCGTGCCGTCATCATTATGCCTCGAGCCAATCAATTTTGGTACAAATACACTTACATGGAGGAAATGTTGGGCAATGTCGCAGGTAAAACTCAATATTACCTAACATTATAATATTGTATATAGTATTTATGGTATACTTAACGCTTTTGTTCAGGGGCTCGTGCCGTATTTGAAAGATGGATGGAATGGGAACCTCCTGAACAAGCCTGGCTGACTTACATTAAATTTGAGTTACGTTACCATGAAGTGGATCGTGCGAGGAGAATTTACAATAGTTTTGTTATGGTACATCCCGATATTACAAACTGGATACGTTATGCGAGGTACAAATTACTTTTTAAATAATAATAATAATAATATTCATAATTTTAAGTTGGGAAATTAGTGTTTCTAATAATTTTCATTTACAAATAAAAATTAATTAATTGGGGATCTGTAAAATCAAATCTGAATGAATAATATTTGCCGTAGAAATTATTATTTTATACAACTTTTTTTTTTATTGTATACATAGATTTGAAGAACAAAATGCTTTTATAGCAGGAGCTAGAAGTGTTTTTGAACGTGCTATAGAATTCTTCGGCGATGAACACATTAATGAAAATTTGTTTATTGCATTTGCTAAGTTTGAAGAACGACAAAAAGAAGTATATTGTTTATTTAAAATATAGAATTAGTATCTTTTATTGAGTATATGTATAAAAGCTGTACAATAATCAATAATTATTATTTACTTATTGTACAATAGCATAATTAATGGTGTGCCATGTTTTTTTAAAATTAATTAGCATGAACGTGTACGAGTTATTTACAAGTATGCTTTAGATCATGTCCCAAAAGAAAAGTGCCATGACATTTACAAGGCGTACACTATACATGAAAAGAAATTTGGTGACAGGACAGCCATAGAAAGTGTTATAAGCAGCAAAAGAAAACTTCAATACGAAGAAGTATGTTTTAATTTTTTTTTTATCAACAATATAGTTAATAAAGTACAAAAATGTATATTTTGTCTTTTAACCATCGCATTGTGATTGAAAAATTAACTTTTTTAATATATTGATTGTGGAAATTAAGCAATCTAATAAAATGTGTTTAATTTATAGGAAGTGAAGAGTAATCCAACCAACTACGATGCTTGGTTTGACTATTTAAAATTATTAGAAAATGAAGGAAGTATGGAAGTTATTAGAGATACGTATGAGAGGGCTGTGGCTAATATACCTCCATCGAACGTAAGTATTGTCTTTAATTTGGAAAAACTAAATTTTGTCAGCATTTATCTCTTAAAATATAAACTATACATTTAAATAGTACAAATTAATATTTTTCTATTAAAAAAAAAAACCATTCAAACATAACGACCAATCATTTTATAAATTAATGGAAAAAAAAAAAATTATAAATTTGCATAGGAAAAACACGCATGGCGCCGATATATTTATTTATGGATCAATTATGCTCTCTTCGAAGAGTTGGAAGCCGAGGACGAAGATCGAACACGTGATGTCTATCAAACATTTATCAGTACCATACCTCATAAACTTTTTACATTTTCAAAAGCCTGGCTGTACTATGCGCAATTTGAAATAAGACATAAAAATCTAGCTCTGGCAAGAAAACGATTGGTAATTGTTTCTGTTTTTAATCATATTTTTATTGGCTGATGGTAAAATATATGATTTTTTTTGTTTTTTGTTTCAGGGTGTTGCTTTAGGGCTTTGCCCCAGAGATAAACTGTTCAGAGGCTACATAGATTTAGAAATACAACTGAGAGAATTCGAACGCTGTCGTATATTGTACGAAAAATATTTAGAATTCGGACCAGAAAACTGTATTACTTGGATCAGAGTTAGTTTTAATGATATTACTATCTATTATTATATTGGATTTTATTTCCCATAGAACAAGTAGCAATATCTGGTATTGACCGTGTGTAGTGAATAAATATATATATTTTTTTGTTTTAGTTTGCCGAGTTGGAAACGGTCTTAGGAGACGTAGACCGAGCAAGAGCAATATATGAACTTGCTGTAAACCAGCCCCGTTTGGACATGCCGGAAGTGCTCTGGAAATCCTATATCGATTTTGAAACGTCACAAAACGAAACGGAAAGAGCAAGAAAACTATATGAAAGACTCCTGGAACGAACAAATCATTTCAAAGTAAGGAAATCAGTCAAGTTTACTTAACTTAACTACTTTTAATGACGTGTACAATAATAATACATGTGAAATTGTTCACAGGTGTGGATGAGCTACGCTCAATTCGAAATAACCGCTGAAGCGGAGGAAGGTATTGATAAAACTGTAGTGGCTAGGCGAGTGTTTGAAAGAGGCAACGAAGCACTCAGAAGAGGCGGGACACCAGAAGAAAGGGAAGGCATACTGCAAGCTTGGTATCGGTTTGAAGAAGAGCACGGCGATAAAGATAGTAAAATCAAAGTCAAAAGTATCCTGCCTAGACGAATCAAGAAACGGGTGCCTTATACATCTGAGAGTGGAGTAAGATAATATAATATACTGGATATATATAAATAAAACTTGTGTGTTAATGTTGTTTTGTTTATTTTTTTAATTCAGCGTGACCGAGGATGGGAGGAAAAATTGGACTATATTTTCCCCGAGGACGATACCGTTAAACCAAACTTGAAACTTTTGGAAACAGCTAAAGCATGGAAAAAGAGAAAACTAGAAGGAGAATCTTAGTGGATACATATTTTTGTAAACCGAACTTTGAAATCCTTAGAAGTAATATTAACTAATTAAATTTAATATAAGATGATTCTAATTTTTTTTTTACTGATATGAACTTTTTACAATTTACAATAAATACTTGTGGTGTTTTTTTTTTTTAATGAATTTATCTAGACATTATTTCCACGAACCTGATCTAAGCAGTTTTAATTTTACTTTCGCATTAGTGACGTTATTATTTTGTAACTAATTATTATTAAGTGTAATGGTATGAGAGAATTACTTTTAAAAGTAAAGAAACAACCAATGCGTTAGTTTTACCTATTAAAACATGTCAATTCTAAACTTAATAAATTTGATTTGTTTATTTAAAAAAAAACCCCAATGTCTCGGTGTACCGTATTGTGAATCTTTTGTACAGAGTAACGATGGCACTAATGAGGATTTAAAACATAGGATTAAGTGCGGTTAGATTCTGTTAACAGAAGCATTAGGTTTTTATGTGACTAAATGTGACTAATGATACTAACTAAATGTTAGTTCTACAAGAGTGCGGTAGGACACTGACCATGTTGTATGATTCGGAGTGTTGAGCGGTAGACAGAAAATACAGACACAGAATGATTGTAGCCAAGATGAGAATGTTATTCCGACTTGTATTTTAAAACCATTTAATTGTCTCTCACTAACAACGAAACAAATTGTATTTAATTAATTAAATTTTACCAATAGCCGGAAAACCTTATCATTTAAATTTGTTTAATCCGGTTTCGTTGATGTTTATTGGCTTCATATTATTTTGTTATACATAATACAAATTGTAATTACCAAAATCTTATAAAAAAAAAAAAATTATACAATGTCAATCAGAGGCCTAAATGAATAATGGATCCACTAAGAATTTGGATCGTTCAAACCTAAGACACTGAAATGATAAAGGCCATTAGCCTTAGAAGTAAACAATTTAACTAAAAAAGTAATCACTTCTTTGTTATTAGGTTGGTCAAGAACAGCAGTTGAGTTAAAAATGTTTGTATTTAATATAACACACTGCCAAGTTAGTGGATAAGAAACAAATTTGTTTTTGTTGAACAACATGTCAAGCTTAAGGCCGAATAGACAACAGCATAAATGAAGTCGACAACTATTCTTAAAATATTCACCGAAACTTAAATTTGATTTATTTACAACAAATACAAAAAAATATAAATAATAATATATTTATTTGTTTTTACACGTTAAAAAATATAATACAATTAAAATAATTATAATAATAAATAATAATTAATACAAATACTAAAATAAAATAATATGTCACACACAATATAATGCACACCAATCCTCCGATGGTATTATTGCTTAATTACATTTACGATGAATGGTTGTCAAAGCTAAAACAATCGCTCGAGTGAATTCACATAATAACCGTTTAGTCATAAAAAAAAATATATATATATAGTAGATAGTTATAAATATATATTTATATATAGGTAAATAATATAAACAACAATTTTTTTTAATTACGATTGATATTTTAACGCTAGTTTAATAAAAATAAATATATATATATATGTACTTTATTGCGCATATAACATAACCCTGTAACAATGAAATAGTTTAAGGCCTCTAACTTTATTATTTAAGTTTACAATACATACACAGTTATTGACGCTTTCTCTTATCGTACACGTAATTTCATCGACAAGTAAGAATTCAAAATTAATATTTTTAAACCACATAGTATACCACTTATGCTTTATTTGTACATCGAAAAAACCCTAGTCGTTGTTAACAAAACAATGTTTCACTTTATTGTTGGATATGAAATAATACTGTCCAGTAAAATAATATAATCACATACAATTTTTAATTATATTTAAATTTAAATACATAATATTACATTCGGTATACTCGCATTTTATGTAGCTTATTGCCCCTTAAAAAATAAAGAGTCAGAGAAAACACTATCAACTAATTTTAATTAAACAGACTACAGCTAACTATTGTCCTACGCTCATTACACAATAAATAATGATTGTTATTATATATGTTACTACTAAACGCACATTAACTTACTAAACGATTGCCGATTGATATTTCTAACGGGGAAAAATAAAGCGTGTAGAAAAAAAATACTAATTATATCCATATGATCATAGTATATTAAATGAGTTAAGAGTGGAGGGGACGAAAATGTTCAGCTCTCGAATGATATTTTAATAATAATAATATAAAAAAATAGAGTGTAGCAATAAAGAATAAAAAAAAAAAACCAATGAAGTGTTCTTAGCTAGACTAGATTGAATGGAGACTAGAAATTAACTTCTACCGCGGTGTGATGGTATACATATTATACTACGTTATACAATTAGATTTTTGTTGATCGTGTTTTCAACGAAAATATAACACAACTCCCGATTGACCCTGTATGAATTAATAAACAAAATACATTATCCTCATTCCCAAAAAGATTTATATATGATAATTTTAATAAAAATATATATATTTATACATATACACATACACACATCAAACCAACAAAACACATGAATACTATGTAAATATGTCACGCAAACACGAATTACTTTTAGTTTGTCGATGACAGATAAATTCATTACGCGTCTCTCAAGAATGTAGGCTTTTTTTTTCTTTTTGTAATACTGAAATACCGATGAAAAAATTAGAAACAAAATGGAGGAATGATTTATAGGCAGTATAAAAATAAAAAAAATTAAATTAATTTAATGACCATATTATATATAAGTCTTGAATAACTTATGCTGTCGTTCGACTTAATATGAAAAAAAATTACCTACTCAAGAGCTTGTCAATATCACCCATTAGAAATTGTCGACGTTATCACAAGAAAATTGATAATATGGGCCGTTGATTCAAAAGTCGTTCCCCGACAGACGAACAAACTTTAAGAGAATTTTTCCTATCAACGCCTATCACAGTAAATTAACTTTTTATAATGTGTATGTTTGTTTTTTTTTTCAACTAAAAAATTGGTATCACTATTGCGATTATTATTTGATTTCATCATCTTCTTCGTCGTCATCGTCATCATCCGAATGTTGCTGTACAATCGGCATAATTGGAACGGTTTTGTACTTGATTCGTTTAGGATCAAAAGGATCAACTACGACGTGCTCGGTACCTTTGATTTCAGCTCGGCAATACGGACAACCTTGGCCGTCGGACTCCTATAAAACAATATTAGAAGATATTATTTGTATATTATCTATAATTAAAAACTATAACAACAACCAAGTAATAATAATCCTAGTAAAACAATAATACTAATTAAAATTAAACCAAATGAATAAATATTATTTAACTATAATAATTATATAAAATAATTAAATTGTAAACTTTTTTTTTTTTTTAATAAAAAAGACTCAAGTTTTCTTTCTAACATGAAATTAAGTCACTTACCATCCAAGAGTTAAGGCAAGGTGTGCATAAAAGATGACCGCAAGGTTCAATTCGAACGTCCTTATCGTTTTCTGTGCATATTTTGCAAATTTGAAAAGTGGAACCCATTTCGCAATACATTTCGTACTGCTCGTGTGTTACTCTGATATGATTTTCTGGGCTCTGTTCAACAGCGTTTGATAAGTCTGGATTTCCTTTTTGCCCATCTGGATAAAGATAACTGAAAGAAAAAAAAAAGTTAATAATCAAACCTGTAGTACATTAAGCACAATAGAACACAATATTAATACAATAGTAACACTAACACAATAGTAAACGTACAGTAAGCATAATAAATGATAAATATAGCAAGACATTATTTTTTATATTTACAATATATGAGGCGCTCAGATGCCAAAACATATATATATACTTATGTATTTCACTTTTTGTGTTTAGCTCGTTCAATTCATTGTTGAATATGGGATTATTGTTTGGCATTTTTATCTGGCTAAGGATCAACTACGTCTTGCGCATGTTCCGCATAAAATTGTATCTTACGCTGCTTACACACTTAAATTACCTCCACTGCAACATGACTACTATATTAGCCGTATTCTTCATATAACCTCTTTTTCATCCCGTCGTAATGATACCGACTTCCTCAATATATCAATGCTCTCCTCAATAATTCTTTAGATGCTCCATACCTTCTCTCCGGTGTTTTATTTAAAGTTCCTTCACACATCACTAGAAATCCTACTTCTTTTCATGTTCCTATTCATTCCACTCCTTATAGTCATAATAACCATCTAATGCATAGAATGCTCAGATCGGCAAATCTAGCGTGACTTTTGTCAAAATAACACTTAATGTAAGCTTTTTATTTATTATTATCTCTGTGTTTTAATATCTTTATTGTTTATAATTATCTTATCTAATGTTTAAATGTATTTTATTTGCTATTGAACTTTAAAACAGCCGATTAGCACTTAAACTCAAATGAATAAATACATTATAACAGGTATTCAATATAAAGTTTTACTTACAATCCTTCCCGAGCTCCGTCTAACAATGCTTGACACAAAGACTTGTTTTGAGGAATGGTTTGTAAAATTTCACCCTCGGTTGTCACATATCCTATAGCCCATTGTCCTAATCTTGTACAACTCAAACGAAACACATAGCTAAGATACAAAAAAATAAAAAAATATATAAATAAAAAAATAACAAATTTTAGGTAGTTTTTGAAAATCAATAGGCAAGTATTATTCATTATATTTAAAAACGAAAAACATAAATAAAACTAACCTTCCTGGTCTGGTTATGAATTTTTCTAAACGAGCTTTTACTTCATCGTACGTCAAAAATGCTACATATCCGGGATGAGTTACGGCTAATATCTTCCAGTTTCTTAGCAACGTTGGCCAAGGTTGAAATAATCTAAACCCCATAGAAATAATTATAAGAAACCGTGGTAACTTAAAAGAACATTGCATACATAAAAATATATAACTATATGACACGAATAGTATCATAAATAATTATTAGAGCATTAAATAAGTAACTTTTATAATATTCCACTATATAAATTTTACACATTTACCTAGTAAAAACATCAAATTCAAAATTTGATATGTAGTCATTGCAAGTCAAGTCTATTGTTGACTTGAGTGCCATTGCTTCGAGGCCACTTACGATTGGATGAACCTCATGAAGAGCACTTCGAAATATTTTCCATGGAACGACAGTACTAAAACAATAATGTTCATGTCATGTTAAAAACACTCTCATGATTAGAATTTTTTTAAAGTTACTTAAATTTGTAAAAATAATATTAATGTTATCATGATACGCTTGTCTTTCTCTTTGTTAATAAATTGTTGTTACTCATGAACGAAATATTAAAAAAACCATAGACATTTTATGGACTGCGCATGAAAATACAATTATGCTACCAAGATATGTGCGAGAGAGATTGAGCTAAGTTAGGCATGTTTTTTTATCTTATCAGTTTTCCCAAACTAAAACTAAGTATCTATCATTTATGTATACATTATTTATGTATTTATACATCTAGTTGTGTGCAAGCAAGTTTAAACAACGTAATAAAACATATTATAAAACATTAAATACTAAAAATTATGGTAAAATGATAAATAAATAATTAATAATTGATTAATAAATGATTGATAAAAATGAACATTTTTTTTTTAATTGCTTATAACTTCTAAATAATAACCCATTTTTGTTTTTTCAAATAATATATGTATTTTATATAGGGCACACCTTAACTGCACAACTAAAAAAAAACCTCAAGTGTTTTACTTGTGCCATGTGCCAATATTTTTTTTTTCAAATTTTAAAAATGTACTAGAACGTGTGGTTATTAATAGTTAAAAAAAAAATAATAATAAAAACTATTTTGGAATGTATTTAATTTTTATTTGTACTTTAATAAGAAAAAAAATGTTGTATATGTATATAACTGAACGTATAATATGCGAGTATCATACAGTGTAATCATAAGTATTACACGTTTTATACATTTAATGTATTATACCTACCATTTATTATTCATTATACATGTGTTATGTTTCATTCATTGTTATAAATTGTTTGTCACTAATATGCGCAGTCCATATTATGTCGGAGTTTATGAAAAAAACTCATAAACTCGATTATTGTCCTTACCTCATTCCAAAATTGTGTCTCCAAAAATCGGCGGCATCGCTTTTTGTGATTCTGAATTTGTCACCCGCAAAACGATGATTTGGGAATATTGCTTTGAGTTCGCTGAGCATATGGCTAAACACCAGGCTCAGCTTTGTCAAGTTTCGCCTGTAATGTGAGTTTTCGTCGTACATTTTCTCCTTGCCTTCTTTGAACAGTTTTATGGCCTGCTTGCACTTGCGTATCACGTTCAGTATGAACACGGTGAAATGTTCGTTGTTGTACAGGTCGGACAAGTCGTTCTCGTACTGGGCGTATATGAACCGAAGGCGCTGGTACGTGTCGGGCAGTATGTCGAGTATGAACGGCGGTGAGTTCTTCAGGTTCATCTTGGAATGTTGGCAGAGCTTCACGACTTTGTCCATGAGCTTCCATGTTTTCTCCAAGGTGCGCTTGTCGATGGCCGCTTTCGGCGACGTGATGGCCTCGGCGAACGCGCCGTGCAGCTTCATCAGTATGGACGCCAGGTTTCTCGGCTGTATGATTCTGTTGGAGTTCGAGGACATTGTCGAGCACATCAATCGGCCTGGCAACCCGTCACGGCGTTACTGGGTCACGACTGGTACCGCGTACACATGGCGACAGTGGCTGACTCGGTGGTGTTAACGCTGACATGTAAGCCGAATGGCCAATTATTGTTTCGTGTTCGGGTGGTCGCCGGCCGCCGCTGTTGTTCTTCATGCGAAAGACGCGGTCGTTGAGATTTCACCTGAACGAGTCGGACGACGGCGCTACGTTCTCATGTCGTTTACCTGTAATGTTGTAAAAGTGCGGAAGTGGGAAAATCACAAATCACAATAATAATAAATTATCGGCCGTTATCAGCAGTGCAATAATAATTATCAATGGACGACGCGCCGTTTTCGGGCGGCGCGAACGTTGCGCGGGCGGTTGCCCACGTATGAGTCCGCCCGATGACCGTTGCGTTGCCACGGAGCTGCTGCAACGGCCGCCGCGGTCAACGATGACGTTATCAATAGCAGCAGCTGGTTATGACGTTATCGACTGGTTATCAACCAAAGGTGGTTATCAGCAGCTCGGCACTGACTGACCATGGCACGCCGCTCGAGGGTTTCCTGGGATTATCAAAATTTGTGATTTTTTTTTTCCCCGAAAAAATCAACAACGCGGACGACGATGATAGATTGGATTATCGTTATTCGTTCGGCCGTCAACGTTTTTGCTTGCGATGCAAGCCCTTCTACAGCTGATCATGACGTGTTGACCGCGGTTGTTTGTGCAGTTCCCCTACGGGAATACCGAACAATGTACGCGTCGTGACCGGTAATTCAAGTGAACCCAACACGTCGGCCAAGTCGAAAGTCGACACAGCCGGCACACCGTCGTCATTATGGGCGAGAGGAGGTTTACCAAAGGTTTGGGTCGACCCGGAATGGCCGCTCAACTACGGGAAACCGTCAGCCAGGTGGTCCGAGAAAGTTCCAACCACGTAAGTTCTCCGCCGTGAAAACCCGCTTACGACGTTATTGACTTTCAGCTCCTATCCGACTCTCGGTTGGCGTTGTTAAAAATATGGCTAAATATTGATTTTCACAGCAATCGAAAAATAGAGTTTTCCACTCTATTTAATCTCTAAAGATACATTTTTGAAAAATTACTGTTTTATTTTTACGGTAACCAAAGTCGTAAATAGAGACTTGAGAAGTCCTGGTGGAATTCACTTTACCGGACGCTTTTTTTTTAGTTGCAATTTTGTAGTGTTTTTTTTTTTATGTCGATTACGAATCTAAAGTTATATGAATAATTATAAACATTTTAAGGACAGTGGGGACAATTTAACTTTATCAGAAACCCTTTTTTTTTTATGATTGTTTGTCTATAATATAGTGTAATTTATGCTGATTACGAATCTAAAGTCGGAAATCTGTAGACTCCTCTAGTTCAAAAGTTATAGCTACTCGAACTTTGAGAATTATTGTTGACGCTTGAAGTGCCATCCAGTTGTAGCATGCTGCGGCGATCAGATTGGACATAGCATTTTGTTTGATAACACGGTGTATTAATTATTTCATCATTATAGTACTCAAATTTTCAAGTAGTTTTAACTTTTGAAGTAGATCACGGATTACTGACTTAAGATTTGTAATCAGCATAAAAAGTAACACGACAATATGGAAAAAAAATCATAAAAGCAGGGTTTCTGGTAAAGTAAATTTGTTCCGCAGTCCTTAAAAATGGTTATAATTATTTAATTTACAAAATATATATATTTCATCAAAACAGTTATAAAATAATATACTTTTTAAATGTGTTAACAGTTAACAGCTGTCAACATATTCTAATAAATACTATTACAATTTGAATAACATGTGTCTTCTAAGGTTAAAAAAAAAGAATTATAATCTATGAATAATTCATTAATATATTATATAAATATTAATCAAATTTTATAGACTCATATTTTAAAATAGTATTTTTAGTCAATTAATATTATTGTCATTAATGTAATAACCATGTCTTGATAGATTTTTAAAAACAGGTTGCTTACTTTTTTCATTTCTACATTGAATGCTCATTACAGAAAATACTTTAATGCCAGGTTACATAAACGTTTAATGAACCAATATATTATGTTTAGTGGTTCTTTAAACATAATTTAGTGGCTCGAGATTGGTCTATTCAATTTTAATTAATGAGCCATTAAATTAATTAATGTTTTATGTAACCCAGCATAAGCACTTAAAATGCTTCGTCAAATAATGCATTCAAATAGTTTTCAGTTTTTCTATATGGACTTTTATCATTAAAAATTCATTTAATTTTGTCATAAGTTTCAAAGCCGAATAATTTTCCAGATTTTTTACTTAAAATACTATTTTTAACGTTGAACATTATACTGCTCAATATAATGTTGCTAAAATTGTTGATTAGGTATTTTTTTCCAAAACTTGTTGATATAATTGATAATTCATTGTTTTTGTATCAAAATTACAGTTATTTTAAAAATACTAAACAAATTTTAATTACCAAAGGTCGAAAAGAGTTTTTTGGGTATATTTTCATTGAACAACATCTAGATTAAAAGTAATTATAGAAACCTATCTTAGACAATCCCTGAATAAATTCGAAAATAAGACAAATTTTGTTAATGGTCCTGTCAAACGGCTTTGTAATTTTGCACGTAGATTTAACTGACCAAGATGAAAATCGTAGAATTATCTTTTAGTACTGCCCGATTACATCTTTGACAGGTTTTACTGTTTATTTTTTTATTGTCTAATTGGTATGTTTTTTTTGTTACAGTTAAAATGTTTCCAAGTCGACCCAATAGAATTTGAAGATTATTGTGCCAAAAACCAAACGGTATTCCAGAATGATCCTCAGAGAGAATTATTGATCTATCCTTCCGATGACATATCGGTGAGAATTAATTTACATTAAAATGTTTTTACCGATTACACACTAATGGGGATAGTGTAAATCCAATATTTTACGATCATGTTTAATTTTAAATAAAAGTTAGGCAATGTAAATGTGTTAACAAGTTAAAATTGGTTATATCTAAGCAAAATTATGCGTTTGCACTTGCCCCATTTTAGGATAAGCCTATTCACTCCACTCCATACTTCTTACCTTGATAACAATTGTAAATTTTATACCTTAAAGCAATAAAAAGTTGTATTAACATAAAACAAGATTAGAAATAATTATACCTAGTCAGTTTAATTATTTATGACTACTATTGTCTTTAATTTAAAAGTTTCAAAGAAAAAAATGTCTCACTTTGACTATTTGCCTAAAAATGTAATTCTAATTAGCGTTTTGAAAATATTACATTTAAAAATGTTTATGAAATTTTAGCAAGTAGTGTTACCAAGGCGTTATCGAACATTAGATTCGGGAATACCAGAAGAAACTACAACGGAATGCTCGTTGTTCACAAAACGATGTATTCAAAGCTATTCTTCAAACTGGCATGTCATACATTACAAGTACAGCGCTTACTCAGAATCTTATTTTCAACTGCCATCAGAGTAAATATAGATATTAGCTATATAGTTTTATTGTGACACGTTCAAGCTTACTTTTTTGTGTTTTTCTCTAGAGTTGACAAAAATCAAGATGCAAAAGATGAGTCCTATGAAGTGGACTCTGAGCTAGAAGATATAGATAGCAAGGTATAATGTATATATATATATTTTTTTTTCTTTCTAAAATACTAGAAATTATTTCACTTTCTTTTATTCGTGTAATAAATAATATTACATAAAGTATTTGTATTCGTTAACAGGACTGGAAGGATGTGAACAATGATAGCACACTTTTCAAACAAGGATATCTGTACAAAGGACCCGATGGTGGCGGCGGTGCATCAGAACGAATGTTTGCCAATTTGGCGGGCTCAAAGTCTTTCAAGAGACGTTTCTGTATTTTAAAGTAATAATCAAATTAATATCCTATTTCGCAAATTTTATTTTTTACGTTTTGTTAGCATTTAACAAGCATTTAAATTGTTGTTTCCAGAAAACAAGTTGACAGTACATATATTTTAGAAGTGTATAAAGATGATAAAAAAGGAGACGCCAAGGCGACGATTGTCATGGATTTGTGTGATAAAGTGATACGAGTAAGTGGTTTTGCATAACCTTATGTGTATTTATTTATTACTATTACTTTTTTTTTTTTTTAGAACAGTAAAAAAGGCCGGTTTTGTTTGGAACTACGAATGGTCGATACTGACAAAAGCTACTGTTTGGCGACTGATTCTGAAGCAGAGCTCATGGATTGGATGAACAAATTGCAGATGGCATTAAAACTCAGCAAACGAGAAGAAAAGATATTGGAAAATAGTAATACATAACTACTTCTACAAACGTACAACTTAAATCTAGAATTTAAAAATAGAGTTAACTTTTCCTAAAAAAAATTAAGTTGATTACAACAAACAATGACCTTTTTTATAGTTTCTCCATAAAACAAAATATATTACCTAAACTAATAAAAAATGTCATTAATACAATATTTTATTAAACAAATTTTGCTTATTTGGCTAGCTAAAATTAGTCATCATTTTAATCTAGGTCATCTTTTTTTTCATTTTCTGTTTTTGCTGTATATATATTTTTTTTTACATAAATTAAAATTGAATTTAAATGAATAATTTTTTTTTTTGTATTTCATAGCACAAAAATATTTATTTTTATAATTCATTAACAGCTATATTGATGTTTTTTTTTTTTTATTATTAGAAGAAAATGCAACTACAAGACCATTGTCATTGTCTATTGATAGCTTTGGAACATTAAAAGGTTTGGAGCATAATCCTCAGTTGATGAAATATGCTAGAGAGACTTATTCTACATTGTCTCATGCGCGGCAGGAAAACAGACGTAGAATTTTTGCCGTTTGTCCTTTTATGCATCAGGTTAGAAACTAATTCTCTTTTAATAAGTTAGTTAAATATAATTTACATGGCTATTACAGTAATGACACTTTTTTTTACTTAAAAATTTAATGAATACAATTGGAAGAATGCATCTAAATTAAATTCCAAATATTCTATATGTTTACATTTAAATTTATCTCATATATTTATTTTTTATTACAGCCAAACAATTATAATAAACTGAACATTTTGAATCAACCTTCAGATAGTGTATCTGAACCGTACAAAGAACGATTCGGTCAAAGAATATCGATTGAATGCCAGTCTTTGAATTTTCGCCTGCGTAATGAAGATTGTGATGAAAATCAAGTAACTATAAACTATCTTTACATAAAATAACACATTCTATGCAGACTCAAGCACAAGTGTATTCAACTTATTTGTGTTGCTGCACATAAAAATAAAAAAATTTGGTTTTAATAGTCACTTTCTATAAATACTTGGTTAAACTTATATTATTAATTTGTTTTTCAGGTAGAACCGTATTTTACAACTTTAGCGTTGTTTGATATCCGTACTGCTCAAAAAATATCCGAAGATTTTCATTTTGATATAAATACTTCAACCATGAAGAATTTACTGAATGAGAATGATGTACACCACGGAGACATTGAAGTAGCCAAAAATTGTGTTGTCACGAGACAGTGGCTGTATAAGCAAAAACAAGTAAATATGTTTATTATTATTTATTTATTATACCAGTGGTATTGAACATTTTTCATCACACTGTTCTTTTGTGTAAATCCACAACCTCCACGGCTTCCTCGACCAACTCACATGATGTCTCAGGGAGCCGCGACTCACAGTTTGAATACTTCTATATTATACTGTTCATCGATGCGTTCATGATAAAATAGAAATAGTTATTAACAAGCAATCAATTTCTTTTCAAGCGGTATGTGAAATTGATATCAATTATAATTTTCAGGCAATAATGTGTGTATCAAAACCTCATTCCGACGTGTTCTTGGTCTTGAGAGTAGACAAAGTACTTCAAGGAAGTATTGTTCGTGCGTCCGAACCGTATATCAAAGCGACAACAAATGGCGCCAAAGTTTATAAAAACGTTAAGACTGATTGCAATAGGTAAAAAACCAAATCAAATACCTTTAATTAATTTTTTAATTGTTTAATTTTTTCGCATTAAAATTCGCATTTTATTTAGACTGGGAAATTATCATATGCCATTCGCTTGGGGCGCTCGACCGTTGTATAGACTTTACAGCTGTGAATTAGATACTTCTACCGATTACATGACTTTATACAGACAAGACCCGTCAAAACTCGGCGATGAAGATATGATTAAAATATTATTGGATTATCGCAAGTATGTTAATTTCATTTCATAGCGCATTGATAACGTATTAATGTTCTAAAATGTTTTAGGCCGGAGAAAATGAGTAAATTTGTCGTTATTCCTGGTCATTTCCAACTGAAAATAGAATTACTATCAAACACGCCGGAGAGTAAGTGCAATATTTTCTCTAAGTCTGGTTATTGAATGCTACACGTTTATTTGTTCATATTGTTACATTTAGACTCGTTTACTACTTCCTTGACACCGGTGAAACCATTTCCGTTACCGCCCAATAGGGATTCCCCTGTCATGGAAATAACAGAACTCAGTCCTGATCCGCATCCACTGACTACGTACATAAATCATTTGTACGTGTACCCGCTATCGTTGGCGTTTGACTCTCAAAAGCATTTCCCCCGAGCTCGCAACATAACGTGTACAGTACAAATGTTTGATTGTGACGATGCCGACTCTAAACCAATTAAAGTTTGTACTACCTAATATTAATCACTGTTACGTGTTTACCCGACAAAAATATTAACTTTTACAATGTTTTTATGAATGGATTACAGTGTGTATACGGTACTACTAGTGGTCAGCTATTGGACTTTGCATGCACTAGCGTATTGTACCATAACACTAACCCTTTTTGGTATAACGAGATCAAAGTTAGACTGCCAGTACACATAACGACCAAGCATCATTTGTTGTTCACTTTTAAGCACATATCCATTGACCGTTCCCGAAAGAAACAGGCTGCGAGCACTGTTGAAACAATTGTTGGATACACATGGTTCCCACTGATCTCTAAATCTAGGTATGAGTTGTTTATGTATTAAATTATAATAAAAACCATGAAATAAAAAATTAGGAGAAAGCCCACTCAAACATAATGTCTTGATTAAAATATATTACCGTATTTTATTGTTATATGTTGCAAATATTATTTAACGTTCAAAAGATAATAATTTGTTGTACATATACAAATTAAATTGCAATAGCAATATTTAAAGGATGATTCTTTGTTAGAAATCAAATCTATAGATTTTTTTTTATTTAAATAACAAATAACTGTTTAAAAATAATAAACTATTTTAAATACATTTATAATTTCAATAAAAATTGAGCTTGAATACAATTTTAGTTGACTTTTAGATGTAACCAATTATTGAAAATAACGTGTGTGTTTAATACAAATTGATCAAAATAATTTCTTTATTTAAATTCTTATTTCCATTTTTATTTGATAACGTTTTTTTTTAAATACTGCCCAAGTTTATTAGAAATAACCTACGCAAAAGAAATTAAATTTTTAAATATATCAAGGAATTAATTGACAATTTAAAAAAAAACCTATTTTTATGTTACATATTCAGCAGCTAAAGGTAACGTTCACAACTGTAAAACAAATATATACATAAATAATATATTATATTATTTATTAAAATATATTAATGCCAAATATTATAAATTAACTTATATCAAATAATATTACTTCACCAAATTATTATTTTTGTGAAATTATTAAAAAGGGTATTTAAGTATACAATGAGAATAAATAATTGTATACAAATGTTTATAAATGTTAAAAACAAATAAATAATGTGTCAAAAGTTATTATTACTTTTTTACAATATTTTCTATTTAAATAATCTTTATTTCATTGTAGACTAAATGTGGATATTAAGTCGTTACCCATATCTGTTAATTTACCTGCTGGATATCTGTCCGTACAACCATTTGGACTTGGAAAAGGAGTAAGTCTATTGATTCACGTTAAATAAAATAATAATATGTTAAAAACATTTTAAGTGTACAATTTTTAAAAAAAATTTTATTAGTACTGCGGTCCTGAAATTTTTTGGTTGGATGGACAGAAATCGTTGTTCTCATTCAGGTGTCACTTATTGTCGAGTGTTTATTCATCAGATAGCCATTTACAGAATCTCTTTGCGCACTCCGAGCGGTTGGAAAACAGTAAAACCACAAGTATTGTACCTCCAGAGACAGAGACATGTAAAATATTAAAAGTGAGCTCAAAGACTCATTATTGTATTTTAAGCATATATTTTTTTTAAAACGTTCTTTTTTAATCAATTACTCACAGGCGTCACATGCAATCCATTTGACATCTGTTATAAATTTTCTGCCAACTCTATTGAATCAATTGTTCAGCTTGTTGGCAGTCACCGCGTGCAAAGATATCGCTGTCAACATAATAAGACTTTTGGTTCATTTAGTAGATTCAGTTCGAGAATCTGGTCAATGCGACGCACTAAACATCTACATTAAGGTAAAATAAAAAAAAATGAAAACCAAATATCACTAATTAGAGATTTCATTAAAAATAAAAACCAAAACCGGCTGTCTAACATTGTTTATAATCAATTCAATTGTGATTTTAAGACTATTTTGAGATTAATATTTATGATGAACTATTAGTTACGAATTAAAACTAACAAAAATACTACTAGAAAATTTACATTTATATTATATTTCGACCTTGTGTGTTTCATACAGTATGTTTTTACCGCTCCTGCAACAAATGTGGCCACCAATACTGTTCACGATCAACTCCTGGCGCATCTGCCCGGCCTTTTAAATCCGGACAACACAGACTTCTTGCTCATAAATAAGTTCTTAGTTAATTCAAATTTTTTCTTTCAAATCATCATCAAAAGCATGGGACAATACTTATTGGCGTCGACCAGAATAAAGGTAAAAATAGCATATATATGTATAACTATTATTAATGATATGTGTCTGTATTATCAAGTTAGTTTATTATCTGATTTTTTTTTTTATATTATGATAACAACTTTTCGTCTGCTTTTTTTCAAACTGAAATAATTCTTAATTTGTTCTTTCAATGGACATTCAATGTTATTGGGGATCTTACAGCTTTACCACTTTTCTCAAGTTAATGCCACTATGCCTAATATTCATGGAGGTTTTTTTTTTGTTTGTATAGATGCGACGAAATGAACGGTTCTCGGCTGAATACCAGGATCGAGTCCAGCACATGATCATCGACGTGCTGCTGCCATACGTGATGAACAAGCACAAGGAGATGGGCTCGCAGGTGTCAAAGCTAAACGCGGCGTCTGCGCATTTCTTGAAAAAATGTTTGACCTATATGGACCGCGGGTTTGTGCTGCGGCTGATCAACTTGTACGTGAGCAGCCTGTCGGCGTGCGACTCAACGTTTGCCAGGAACGCCAAGTTGCTGTTCATGAGAGTCATCCTGTCGCACGAGCACTACGTGTCGTTCAACCTGCCCGTCCAGAACGGCCAGACACCCCAGGGATGGCCGCCTCATGCTCAGTTCTTCATGTCCGAGGAGTACTGCCGGCACCACTTCCTAGCCGCCATCCTTCTGCGTGAAATCGTCAACTCGTTGTGTTCGCCTCACGAATACCGGCATTCGGCCATTTCTTGTCTGCGCGACTTGCTCGCCAAACATGAGCTCGACGATCGTTATCAGTCTAAGGTGAGTGTGGTGCGGGTTACCACAAGTACCAATCATGAATATTAGGATACTTTGATTAGTATTTAAGCATAACCACAATATAAAGGTAGTACTTGAATACAAGATATTCAATGTCTTAGTTTTTGTTATAAAGACATTTTACAACAACTAGTGTTTTGTATCGATTACACTTCAATGATTTTGTATCCTCAGAATAGTGGTAGGATTTATTTTTGTAAAAATACGTTCACCTCTGTTGTTTGGAAAAAAGTTTTCTGAAAGTTAAAAAATATAATATATATATTTTTGCTGCAGGGACAAATGGCCAGGATAGCTTCATTGTACTTGCCTTGGCTAGGCATAGTCTTGGAAAACGTGAGCCGCTTAGACTATAAAAAACGGGCAGTAGCCAATAGATCAATCTCGCACCATCCCAATTTGGGTCTAACGAGGTAAGTCTTATGAGGCATCTCATAATCCTTACATAATCATACTTTATCCCATGATGTATTATTATTCTAGGCCCAGCACTCTGGTGTCCGACTCCACACCGCGCATGTCCATCAATTTGAGAGACTCCACTTATTTTGCTGCAATCGCTAGTCACCGTAAGTCAACTCATACTTAACACAGTGTAAAATATTATTTGATATATTTCTCTACACCACCGACAGTGACACCGTCCAAAAAATTGATCAATCAAGAACCGTCAGATGAGAACAAAACCGAATCCACCTTGAGCATCAACTCTAATAACTCCAACTCGTCGTCTTTGGACCAGACAACTTCTTCGTCGGTGTTCTCCCACGAGACGGCAATCAGAAAGAATTCAAACTTGTCAGATGCTAACTTGGGCGGCGCCTCTAACCGTCACTCCAGATCTGTTAGTGGTACTCAGACCTTTAATGTGCCGATGGACGTGGCCAGTAAGTTTGAACCGACCGAAGTCAAGGACATGCTCTTGTGTTTCCTGTTCATCTTGAAATACTTATCCAAGGACCAGCTGGTGTCTTGGTGGCGTTACTGTACGGAGCAAGACACGGTGGCGTTTTTCAAAATTATTGTGTATGTTCCCCCGCCAAGTGCGCGCCTCCACTTTTTGTCGGGTACTAAATATGTGGTTATCCTATGTGTCCTATAGATTGAGCCTACAAGAGTTTCGATATGCCGGTCGTCGACAACTAGCCGCTGAAATAGCCTCGGCAAATATCCGGTGCAACGACATTAGTCAGTCTGTCGCTGGTGTCACAACGAAAAAGGCCATGACTCTGCCTGCAAGAATGCAACCACCGTCCGAGTTTAACGGCAAAACTACCCTCCTACAACAACAGCAGCAGCAACTCCATCAGACACCGTCCCATGTGGCTACACAGAATGTCTTGATAGGTAACAGCGGCACTGGGAGTATAGGACGTGTAGAAAAAAAGGGTAAGAAAAAAATTAGCCACTCATTAAAAAAATATCCAAGTTGATGAATGGATATTGTTTAGTTTTTCAAGAAAAATTATCTTATTATTATTGTATAATTAATTTGCCTTATATAAACAGACAACAATTACACGAGTGAAGACGATTTGGCATCTCGAGCCAGGGCTGAAGCTAACCTGGCAGCCGAAGTGGCGTTGATATCGCTGGACGCCCTGGCGTCTTATTGCATGCATTTCAAGGATACACTGATGGCCTACAATGGAGACAACGATGTCATGGAAAGCGTTTTTTCTGTTCACATAGCCTTCTTGAGCATTCCTCAGTCTACGTCTGTCAGCGGTCATATGTTTGCTGTTCTCCGATCGTTCATCAACAACTATTCATGTATATTATTCAAAGGTATTTGAAAAACATATTAAGTCAAGTCAATCAAATGAATTGCTTCTTATCTCTGTTTTTGATATTTCCAAGGTACCGCTCTATTGGTCGGCAAACTCTGCTCTCAGCTGTTAAGCGGTTGTAACAGCCGGTCGACCGTAGTCCGCCAAGAGTCTTGCGCTGCGCTGTACTTGTTGATGCGAAGCAACTTTGAACTGGCGTCGTCCAACATCACACGCGTTCATCTGCAAACCGTCATATCGGTGTCACAACTTTTGGGTGACATGACAGTCGAGGGTCTCAACAACACTCGTTTCCAAGAGAGTCTGTCGTTGATCAACAGCTACGCAAACAGCGATAAAGCCATGAAGAACACCAGTAAGTTGTGTATTACACGTGTGTTTGTGTTCACTTCATAATGAGTGCTTATAGGAATGCGTATGAGGAGTGATTGCAATTATTATTTGGATTAGGAATAAAAAAATATAAGAGAACAGCAGACTAAGATAGTTTGAGCTGGAGTTAATAAGTTAAACAAGTAGAAAGTGTAAGAAAGTAAGAGTAGAATGGCAACGTAGTATCTGATACACTAAATAAGGTAAAAAAAACATATTATTAACAATATTGCGTCTTTGTGTAGGTTTTCCTGTTCAAGTGAAAGATCTGACTAGGCGCGTGAGGACCGTGTTAATGGCCACCGCACGCATGAAAGACATACACCACGATCCCGAAATGCTGGCAGACCTTCAGCACAGCTTAGCCAATTCGTACGCTTCGACGCCAGAATTGCGTTTGACCTGGCTACAGACGATGGCTCGCAATCACGAAGACAACGGTGATTTCTCGGAGGTGTGTGCGCAACCAAAATTTGGTCGTTTAACGATTGGCTGTTCACAATCGACCTAACGCCCTAACTTTGGATTTTCTTGCAGGCCGCTTGTTGTCGACTGCACATAGCAGCGCTAGTCGCCCAGTACAGGAAATTGAAATGCGCTCAAGACTGGGGCGCAGAAGCGTTTGCAAACATATCGGCAAACATTGCGCGAGACGAAATGGGCTTGCAACTGGATTCCGGCGGTAGTGCCGGATCCGACGATACGTTATACGGAGAAAAAGCCCTGCTCGAGCGGTTGGAAGCGTGTGTACCATGTTTACGCCGAGCTGAGCTGTATGAGTGTTTCGGTGAACTGTACAGTCTCATCATTCCTATGTATGAGAAACAAAAGGATTATCGCGCATTAGCCGACTGTTACAGATCCGTTAGCCACGCCTATGACGCAGCAGTAACGGCCCGACAGTCTGGTCGCAGAATGCTGGGTCGTTATTACAGGGTCACATTGTTCGGCCAAGTAAATAAATAGTTTAAATATCTAAAGACCCCCTATATTTAAGGGGTTCATAACACTCCTTAATAATGTGTTTCAACAAAATGGTTTTAAATGAAAAGGCCCTTCTTTGGTTATATATTTTAACTGATAATAATAATGGTTCGGGTACTTACAAAATTAAGGACTATGTTTGAGGTGGAATATTTATACTATAAAAACATAGAAGTACAATATATATATAATATATTTACAATTATATACTATCTCATTGTAGGCATATTTTGGTGACCAACACGGGGTCGAATATGTATACAAAGAACCAAAAATCACACCGCTATCAGATGTATCGGAACGATTGCTCTGCCAGTACGGTAACAAGTTTGGTCGTGAGAATGTACGAATAATTATGGACTCGAATATGGTATGTGTAATAATAATCTACTAATTTGAATTACTTTTCAGTTTTTATCGTCACACATTTTGTAAAAATTGATTTGAAATAAAACAATTATAAATGTAACTAAACCAATTTGATTTACTATACCACTTCAATGGTTTTATTATTTTTCAAGATTGATGTTTCCGAATTGGACGTTAAGTTGGCCTACATACAAATCACTCATGTCGTACCGTGTGACGGTGAAAATTGGCTGCAGATGGATAACGAATATATATCGGAGTTCGAACGCAATCATAATATTAACAGTTTCATGTTTGAAACACCGTTTACCCGAGGAAGCAGCGGACAGTCGCAGAGTGGCCCACGAGACCAATGGAAACGACAAACAATTATCAAGAGTAAATTATTGTTTTAATAGTTAAATTTGTTCAATCCCCAAAATTAATACTTTTGTTCATTCCCTTCTGTAGCTGAATACACTTTCCCTTATGTCATAAAACGATTGCGCGTATGTAGTAGACGAGAAACAGAACAAGGGCCGATCCAAGTGGCCATCGATGAAATGCGGCAGCGTGTTCACGAATTAAAACAAGTTGTATCGACACAACCGACCGATATAAAGAAACTACAACTACGATTACAAGTACGACGATGACTAGTGTGATGTGTTTATTAGTTTGTTTATTACAATATAATTTAAAATTCTAATGTACCACGACTTAGTGTGGGCGAATATTTATCGAGTTATTTTGTTTTCATAGGGCAGTGTTTGCGTTCAGGTGAACGCCGGACCATTAGCCTACGCCAGAGCGTTTTTGGAACCGCTAATCGTACACGAAATGTGTCAAGATAAAGTTCGAGAACTCAAAGAAACGTTTCGGTACGAATAGCAAAATTTAATATCTATTTTTTAAACAATTCAATTTTATCACAACCTTATTAGAATAATCTATGATTACTCTACAGTTACTGCCGTTTCTTTATTTAAAAAATGTATTGTCGATAATTTTAATTATTTTCACATCGCTTATGATTTCCCTAACAGGGAGTTTATACGTGTGTGCTTTGACGCGTTGAAACTCAACAGAGTAGTGGTGATGTCGGATCAAGCCGAATACCAAGACGCGTTGCAAGAAAACTTTTTGAAAATGTGTCGCGAACTCTCGGAATGCATCGAGGACGATACATTATTGCAAGACGTAATACAAACGTGCATGTCTCCGAGCAACGATAGCCGGACATTGTTTACAGCCATTAGCGGAGCCAGTCAAGACTCGTCGACTGCCTGACAGCCATAAAAGCCATATTAGTTTTACTTTTTATATTACTATAACATAAGCAGTCGGTATAACGAATGAATCGTTTGTCTCGTATTTATGTATAGTTATTTCATCGCAATCAAACAATTGTGTTAAGATAGACATCGTATTAGATCAATTGTTATTATTTTTTTTTTCTTTGTGAATTTATTCAAAGTGATAGTAAATTATTATCCATTGTAAAAAAAAAAACTCATAACGTATATTGTAAGATAATATTTTTTATACAATTTTTATTTATTCACGTTACGTATAAATTATTATATTATGACTATTATTAATATATAAATATTATTATTATTATTATTAAAAGAGCAAGTGTAAAAAACAAACAGGTTAAACAATAGGCAATGCATTTGATAGTTATACATTTAGTTTACTTATTATTACATCATTAGTCATTTTGTTTTATAAAACTTAAAGGTTTTGCCAAAATTGTTATCAGTTTGATATTTATTATTTTCTAATATTTTTATATTATTTGTGTTATTTTGTTTTTATATATTATCTTCTGAAATCAATTCGTTGTGTTGAATGAGTGCACACCTTGAACTAAAAAGAAATCTTAAGCAAACTACTTTTTTTTTTCTTCAGAACATTTATTTAATTATTATATTACATGTAATTTTTATTTTTATACTGTGCAATTTGATGTTAATTATTATACCCGAGTAGGATGATCTATAAAGTGATTGTAAAAACAACAACAATAAAATGCAATTTACATAAACTCAATATATTTAGTATTTCTTAAAACATTTTTATAGCATTTACTGGTTAAAAAATCATAATTCATTTTAAAGATGGTACGTTAATAGTTTTTAACTTGCAAATAATATATTTATTTATACTACAACAAATCTAGTAAGTTGGAAGTATTTAAAATAAGTTAATGAGGTATTTTTGCATAACGTAGTAAAATATGTACTGTTTTTCCTAATGACCCTTACCCCTACTTTTCTTACTAACCTGATAGTAGTCTATTTTAAATAAATAATTCCCCAAAATGTCAAGCGCCTGTCTGAATTCTAAGTATTTCCTCATGAACTTTTTTTTGTATTCAATTAACGTGTGAAATTGTAATTTTCCTTTCAAAAAATGCTGTTTATAATTAGTATTAATTTATAAAAAGTATTCAAAATTACTTTAAAAAGTAAAAACTCAAAGTTGTTTTTTATTAAAAATAAAAAAACATTCTTGACACTCGAAAATCCTTCTTTGGATATTTTGTTATCAAGTTATCAGCTTAATCAGTTTTAATGAGCTGTAACTTGACAATAACCATTTTTATGGTGAATTATTAAGAGGATGATTCAATAATAAACATACCTGAAAATAAATGAAAGGCACTAGACAGAAATATAATGTATTCTGTTATTTAGCATAAACTCATTTTCAAAAACAATTCGGTGTCTTGTTCGATATTTTGCCATTGGATCTAGTACCTACTTATTTATTATTTATTTTTATTTGAATAAAACCAATATTAAGTAGTCTTATAACTTGTTGGCGTATAGTAGGTAATTCGGTAACTTTTAGATCACATACTAAATGATCTAGGCAAAATATACTGTACGTATGACTAAAATAATACTAATAAAATTAAATAACCGAACGTGTTAGGCGTTTTAATAAAAATTTAAAAGAAAACCAGTGTTTTTTTTTTTTTAAACACTATTTTTCTTGGACTGTCAGCCAAAACAAGAGCAAACTCGGGTAGGTTGCAAATGACTTAAGGACCCTCCGCAATAACATTTTGGAGCTACCAGGGTATGATGCAGAATGTCTTACTTGCCGTGACTCGAGAACTGGCGCCGGCGCGGCTCATAAGACCCTGGTACCGTTTTCTCCTGTTTTGCAACCGAAATTCCAACCGCTCCAAATTCAAAAAACACCATTTCAAAACGCATTACTGTTACGCGTTGTTATTGGTTTTTCGTTATTTGTTTCACTCGTTGTCCGAATGTATCGACAAACAATAGTTTTAATTTATTGCTACTGTTTGCTACAAGATTGAATATTGAAAATAAAGTTTTTGAATAATTCAAAAATATTCACTGACAATTAAAAACAAAAAAAAAAAATCATCGTAAAGGCGAAAATTGGTCAAAATTCTTGCTTTTTTCGCTTAATTTTGCTTAATTAAAAATGAGTTTCACTACGTTTTTTTTTTTTTTTTGAGAAAGATCATTTTAACGCCCTGCGCGAGTTTTCTCTTAAAATAATTTATATTTTATATATGTGTATTTTTTTAAAATATATTTTATTGTTTATGCTTTACTACAATATTAGATAATATTCAAATATTTATCTTTCTAAGTATTTTCTACGACTTTTTTTAAACTTTTTAAACATATTAAATGGTACACGTTTTAATTGCTTTTTAATAAATGTTCAGAAAATGATTCTTAATACCTTTCACTGCATTATTTTTTTTTGTTCGAACATATTTTGTTTGCTAAAACTTGATCACTAACAAACTCGTACGATATAATTTATAGTTATTTCTGCGGAAACAGCTAGCGACATCTATACATACTCTTTTGAACTATACATACAAATATTATTATCAAAGACCACGAGCAGATAAAAATAATAAAATATATCTTCTTATAAACTATAATAGTAAAAGTCATAACAGGTAAGTGCAATAAAAACCGTGGTGCTTTTAGAGCAAATTAGTATAAATTTAAAAAAATATAGACAAGAATAATTTTAGTTGAGGTAAAGAAATTGGGCCTAACAGAGTAGTGATGAAGATGTGAGCTAAAATAAACTGGGCTAAGTCAATAATGGTCAGATGCCTGAATGATCTAAAGTGATCGCACCGAATGATGAAAATAGGCATGTAAAATGTTACAGTTGTTAATGCAGATTCGAGAAATTAACTTGCATCGATTCAGAATAATGAATATCAAAAATTTTGGTCAAGGCCTGTAAGTAATTTTACCTATTTATATTTTGTTTCTATTAATATCATGTAAAAGGATATCCTGCGATACCATTTTACATAAGGCAAAAAAATATTCTATATAGAATATTGTACAAATTTCAATGTCACTATTAATAATTAATTATTATTCAATATTATTTTTAACTTTAAACACCTTTGATTGATTAATATAGATCACACCATAATAATATTGCTTACTAAGACAATAAGTTTTTCTTAACAATATTAATGCGTAGGTACTTACAATTCTAAGCTGAATATAATATAAATTATTTATTGTTATAAATAATTAATAACGACGACTATCCTTATATAACAATATATATAATATAATAACCCCTCCCCCCTCCTATATCGAATTTTAAGCACCAGAGAAGTTTTTTCAAATTGAGTTTATAGTTGTTGAAGGTCTAAAGAAAAATTGCACGAAAATTTCTTTAAAAAAATGCAGTTCCCTTTATAAACCATAAGTGAAACTAGACTTTTTTTTACAAGATAAAGCTTATTCTATGGTAACTAAAGGGACTTATAAAGTAGGGTATATTAAAACCAGGATCGGAGAGTTATTATTAGAAAAAAATTATAATAATGCCTCTGACTTAATAAACGGAGCCTTATCCATTTGGGTAAACACACTTTGGCACGCTTTAACATAACCAGTGGCATACATAACGAAATTTCTGGACTTACAGTTCCTAAGATATTTTAACTCTTGCTTAGGTGGCCGCAATTTCCCTTAACGCTTAACAATTAAAATATAACTATTAAATTATTATTTATTTACTTCAAGTTATAAATTACTTCAGAGAGTAACATTGTAACAATTGTACAGTAAATACCTATAATGTATTACTTAAACACAATTTTCTTTTTGGCTCTGGGGGGTTTGAACCTGACCCCCCCCCCCTGTGAGTACGCCACTGTACATAACAATAAATACATTTTTTCCGATTATTTTAATTTACCCCCCCCCCCCCCCCAAATAAGCATCGCTTGTGTAAGGTGGATATTAATTACTTTAATAAACCCCAATTAAGTGTCTCCAACAGCCCGACTATACGTGCAATGCCTAGGGACGAAGTAAAGACATATACTCTACATTGTGTTCCTATAGGGATGATATTTGCATCACACATAATTGTCTATATTTTGTGTCTACATAATAAACCGCGGCATATATAATAATTATAAAATACCGTTGTTCTTTTTCATTTTTACAAATAACATTCATTGATTAATGTAAATCCATTGGGTTTATTGGCAATTGCTCTACTGTAGTTTTATTTTATTACTCTGAACTAGAAATTATGACCATGTATACTAATGAGTAATTAGTAGTGGAATACTACTTTATATTATCAGAGTAGCTAAAATAATAAAATAAATAACTGTGCTGGACAAAGACTAGATCAGAATGAATTTAATTTAATAAATTATGAAAGCTATATACCAGTGCTAATATTTACTTTAATGCCGTTAAAAACACAGTTTTCGCAATTATAAAGTTATATTCATTTTTCTGTAGAATATACTTTTAGTAATAATTACAATTTTAAATGGAATGTTTTAATATATATAGGGTATCCTACAAAGACCTGACAAATGAAATATATTTAGTTTTAGTGAATATTTTTAAGATTTTTGTTTTAAATTAATTTGTATACTCGTTTTCGCTGTACGCACCATGTTTTTTTTGTACTAAACTATTTTATTTTTTTAAATTATTTATTGTTTTTTTCAAGATAGTCACTTCATTCAGAATAATTTTCAAAAAAGAATTGTTGAAACAAATTTGTATTTTTATTCATCCCTTGAAAAGTTATATAATATGTATTTGAAAGAGATGAAAATATTACTCCGCGTTTAATGCGGCGGCCATTTAACCATGTTATTAAATAACACTGATTGACAGCTAAATTGATTTACTAATATCTACAACACAAACATATTTTTGATATAAGACTAAAAACTGAAGTCATTTTATCATGGCATAATACACTTTTTGACGCTGTTGAAACTCATGGTATTATTTTTCTAGACTCGTGTGCACCAGTTATACTAATCATTATCATGCACAAGACGTGTAATCAGATGGAAAACCCTATAGTGTAATCGGTGTTCGATACTGATAAACCTACTTCCGATAATATGTCAAATATCAAAAATATATTTACAAAATGTTCACTATTACTAGAAAAAACAAGTTTTGCTTATGAAATCATTATGTTTATTAGTTTTCATCGTACAGCTATATAAAATGTAGTCACAATTAGGGAATTTATAAACACAATTGACACTACTTAAATGTATTAATAAAACAAACGATACAGGACGTTTCTGAATTCTGAATACACGTCAAAAAAGCGTTTTTTTCGAAAGTGATTTTATCACTTTCAGATTTAAAAATTCCTGTAAACCTGTGACCTCTCTGTCCCCACTATTACCCGACCCAACTTTGCTCTGTCCCCACTATGCCCCGACCCCACTGTACTGTTTTTTTTTAAATATTTTAGTTAAATAATTTTATATTTTAGTAAATTAAAACGAGAAAAAAAATTAGCTTTAAACAATTATTAAAAACGAAGCTAATGACAAACCGACGTTCAACCAAAACCTATTAATTCAACAGTAGATATTTTTATAACAATTATAATAACCCAATTTATCTAACTTATTGATTTAAAGTCTTTCAAATGCTTTTCAGTTATTGTAGAAATCTAATTTTTTTTTTTAATATTTCAAAAGCCTACGTATCTTTTGATTGACGTTATAAACTCCAAAGTTCAGTCAAATTATCTTTTACCAAAAAAATAGCTTAACAAGTATAATTAAATTAATATACAGGTTGCTATAAGAGATTCTAAAATCACCCCTCCCTAAATCCTGTTACCCAAGGGCGGAAAAATCCCAATGACCTAGAATTATCATTGTGTGGTAAAAAATAAAAAACGATTCACATAGGTGGTTTTATTATAATTTCAAAAAAATCGTCAACAAGTCATGTTGGCCTTGAAATTCTAAAGACCATGAATATTTGTCGTACATCGTTATTAAAATGCAAGTTTAACATGGGTATCTAAAAAATAGACACAGTCTTTTGGCTTTGTATAATATTTTTAACACAAACGAGCACTGTATTTCATTTATGCAAACAGTGCAAAATTTAATCGCACATCGAATCACACAAGTGTTTTTCTAAAGTAAAATAATTGTGTTTTCGAGTAAACGCTTAGGCAAGAATTCAGTAAACAATAATTTAATAAAAAATCATATTTTTGAACTCGGTGACCCTTTTGAAACACATGCACCGATGTGCGATAAAATACAAAAACTTACTTTCTAACAATTAAAATAATTAATACACATACGCATGGACTTATCATTAATGACTTATTCGCATAGGCCTACAATGAAAAATCTCTTATTTTTTAAACATTTACCACCAATTTTAAATTGAATACATAAAGCAATGGGCATTTTTTGAAGTTGATAAATTCTTTTTTATAGAATTAGACACTTAAACCAAAATATGTTTTCATCATAGTTCAAAAATAGAAATGAGTAGGATTTTTTTAAAAAAAAAAAAAAAAATTTCTTTGTAATTGACATTTAAAAAATCTGTACTGTAGGTTCAGGGCATAGAGGGGACGGGTAGGTCACAAGTTTACAGGAATTTTTATATCTGAAAGTGATGAAATCATTTTCGAATAAACGCTTCAATGCAAATCAGTAGTTAGTATTTTCAAGCCAGTACGGTCCAAACTAAGCACAGTGTAAACCAGCAAAGTGAGAAAGTATTAAATTGAGGTGCTGTATTTACAAATATGCATCAAAGCGTTAATTTGAAAACACAGTTTTTCGACAATTAAAGAAAAACTGTAGTGCCGAATTTTTTTCCGTTTAATATGTATGGATACATTTAATTTCTAACAACTGACAAATGTTCAACTTAAAAGTTATAAAATTACGGCAACAATACCCAAAAAAAAAAAATCTTGCACCCCCTTTAAGGGGAAGGGAAATGGGTATAGTTTAAATTTGAGACTATTGACGTGTGAGAGCATACGAAATAAATATTTCTTATAAATTTCAACTAGATCCGACTGTTTTTCTCGAAATTATAGCCAGTAAAAGTTCTAACTTAAAAAATCGTTTTTTCGAAAGTGATTTTATTACTTTCAGTTTTTTAAATTCCTGTAAACCTGTGACCTCCCCGTCCCCACTATGCCCCGACGCAACTGTGCTCCGTCCCATTTTAATTTTGTTTTTCATTATCAAAAACCGTGTATTAATTAAATGATGCTAATTTCCCAATATTAAGTTTTCCATTGTAATCGGCACAAAAGCTTAAATCAATCGGCTTTAAGTTATTAACTGTGTCCATTAAATGTACTTATCTATACTTTGTTATCTGTTAATCATTTTTAAAACATTAAAACTTTTATGTAAACCTTGAAAAAAAAAATTAAATCAATAAAAAATAATCTCACACTATCAATAATTTTAATTTTAATGGTAATAAGACATGTAACGTATGAAGATCGTAAGAGCATTCGTAATTTGTATAGAAATGTAATAACATCCATGTCACAGTGGTATCCCACAATGGAGAGCATAAATTAATAATAGTAATTCTTAAAATATTTCTCTTTGCTACGGGTATTTTTTTAATACTGAAGCCGCCTTTTGTTATAATTTCGTTTATATGTTCCAAAAACGCATAGTAACTGTTTGTAAAAAACATTTTCCGATTTTTTTTCCAACGTTTGGATTTCAATTAAGTTGTTCGTGACGGAATCAATACTTAAAACGCAAAACAAAATCTTTGAAGATTGAAGATTTCGTTGAACCATGTCGAAAAACTTGGGTAAGTAAAAAACGGGTATAAATGATTACTCGACTAAATATTGTTGGACATTGAGATTATACGTTTAAATGTTTGTTTCAGTACAATGCCAATACCACCCCGACGCTCCGTTGATTGAAGATTACAGAGCCGGCGATCAGATTTGTTCCGAATGTGGACTCGTGGTAGGGGATCGCGTTATAGACGTAGGTTCCGAATGGCGAACATTTAGCATTGACAAAAACAGCAACGCCGCCGATCCTTCACGTGTGGGAGCCGCGGAAAATCCATTGCTCAACGGATCGGACTTGTCGACATTAGTCGGCCCGTCTAGAGGAGACGCTTCGTTCGAAGAGTTTGGCGGAATGAAGTACAAGAACAAAGGGATGGCGTGCTCGACTAATCGTTGTTTGTTGAATGCCTATAGAGAAATCGGTTTGATGGCAGACCGTATAAACTTACCCCGTAACATTGTAGACAGAGCCAATGTTATATTTAAACAAGTACACGATGGTAAAAACTTGAAAGGTCGCTCAAACGACGCAATAGCTTCTGCGAGTTTATACATAGCGTGTCGACAGGAAGGTGTTCCGCGTACATTTAAAGAAATTTGTGCCGTTAGCAAAATGAGCAAGAAAGAAATCGGACGTGTGTTCAAATTGATTTTAAAAGCATTGGAAACAAGTTTGGATTTGATAACAACGGACGACTTCATGTCCAGATTTTGTTGCAACTTGAGTCTGCCAAACGTGGTTCAAAGAGCAGCCATACACATTGCCAAGAAGGCAGTTGAACACGACATTGTTCCTGGTCGTTCGCCAATTTCGGTAGCGGCGGCTGCTATATTTATGGCGTCTCAGGCGTCAGACGAAAAACGTTCGCAAAAAGAAATTGCTGATATTGCAGGGGTAGCAGAAGTGACAATCAAACAGTCGTATAAGTTGATAATAGCCAATGCCGCTTTATTATTTCCAGAAGACTTTAAATTTGTTACTCCAATCTCAGAACTCCCGACATCCTAATGATATATACTACAAAAATGTGTATTTTTTTTAAAAAATTTACTACAAATTAGTTAATGAAGTATTTATAATAAGTTCAATATATGTATACCTTACAATTAATAAAATTTAAGGTTTGGAATTCAAAGAGAAACATCTCGTTGTATAAATAGTAACGAAAACTACTCCTAAAATAATCTTTGCGGTTATCATGAACCTTTCTATACATGGTGGAAGGTGTAATTTCTAAAAACAAATACAAGTATTACACCAATTTTTTATTTAATTGTTTTATTGATTATAGTAGGCAATTATAATCAAAATGTAAGCCTGCATTAAAATATTTAAATTTTGTTTTTAAATATTGATGCACTAGATGCAAATTTTATTCACATTTGGTTAACATTTTTATATATGGTAGATCAAATGTCATATTTTAGTTAGTTTAACTTTTTATTATTTTACCAAAATTTTGCATTTTATATGCATTGGATACGGAAATTTGATTATGAAATATAAAATTAAACTAAAATTTGGTGTTCGACTATCATCGATAAATTGTATACAAAATATATTCTTTAAAATATTAATGGTTAATAAACCAAAGGTAATAAACCGTAGAAAGACATCGTTGGCAAATCGAATACCCGGTCCAGATGAAGTTTTTTTTTGATGGAATGTTACCTGTTTTACTTGAAGTATGCGAAAAAACGGTCGTCATCCAATAGCATGGTACCTATGAAGTCTGTTACAATCGCTGACAGGACATTTATTTCTGCAAGGTTAAGCTTGAGGATAAGTATGAGTTTCGGGCAAAATTGTATTTCGTTTAACACAATTACTTTTAACAAATCAATTATCGTTCGTTGATAAACTACGATGTCGGTTATTCCGGTTAATTATTACTAACAGTCTTGAATAAATTGACGTACTCTTAAGGTTTTTCATCTTGGACAACGCAAAATCCCATTTTTTCGACTCGAAATTTTCTTTTCAAAAGCCATCAAACGCAGACGGAACGCAATGACCGTTGAAATACAACTGTAATACACCACCGAACTGATGATTGTTTGCTATACCTTGCTCCTTTTCGTTCATTTCCCAAACGCGGAGCAATTCATTTAACCTGGTTTTGTTAACCTTTATTACACTTAGTGGTTATCGACAATCATTTATTTGATATTTATCCGCGATGGCAATAGCATTTTTATAATATGCACAGTATTCACAATGGGGATCGAAATAATAATTATCTCCGCAATAATTGGCGTTTATATAGTTTTCGAGTTCTTCAAATATAAAATCGTGCATCTCATGTTCTTAACTAATCCGTTACGATCTTTATTAGCTATTTCGAAAAAATCTGCGTAGAATAAGTGTATTTTTTTGCACGCACTAAATCAGCCATAGCTCGTTCATTTGGATATGGTCTTTATGAAATAATAGATTAATAATCCGGACCGATTCGTCGACGAACGAAATTTCATTATTCGGAAATCGTTTTTTCGGATCTTTTTCCAAATACATATTCCGTGTCCAGCGATGTGACCACTGTAAATGAACTTGCATTTAAGATCATTTAGTGCCATAGTCACGATCGATATTACCTTTAGTTTATTTAACGCTTTATCAAAACAATAATATCCCTTTTGCGGCGCACTAAATATGATAACGCATTCGATAGTTATACAACAAAAAATTTCCACAATTTTATTGAACCATTTTTTTTAGTTTTGTTATGATGTTTCCAATAACACTCTGGATTAATATTGAATGGTATCTTTTTTTACCAAACTGTCTTGTAAAAGGTAACTAGTAAAAGGTACTAAAGTAGTAGTATTTTGTACGTTTAATGACACATCTAAACATTACTAAACAATAAATCCAACTTTTTCATTTGTTAATTTTTTAAGTTAGAAATAATATACATATAATATAAACTAACGTAAACTTCAGAACTAATTTTAAAGTACAACTTGATTTTAAAAATAATTGATGTTTTGTTACACGAGATTTTTTATATTATTATTATAAAACTAGAGTAAACAATTTATTTTCTTAAATGTACTTTTGGTAATAAGTTAAATGGAATGTTTTTGGCTAGCTATTTTACACGGCTGTTAACCGGCAATGTTATAATTACCATTGATCATTGTAATTATACTAAATGCACTGACGTGAAAAAAAGTTTCCTATCAAAAATGAACACCGAAAGAGTCTAAACTTGGGGTATAGGTTTTTAAAAAATGCGTTGATATTATCATGACAATAAAAGCACAATTAAGTACTTTTATATGAATACTTTTAATATGAAAAGCAATAGATATTACATTCTTTATTAATATTAAAGATTATATTCTCTTAGTTATAATACCAAATTTTATTTAACAAAAATAATACCATGATAATTAAAAGTAATAATTTATGAACACAATATTTTCAGGTGTCAAGCATAATAATAAATGATACAAGCCTAAATAACATTAACGTTATAGCGGTAATATTATTTCTAGTAGTTCTATATTTTAGATAATTAGTAAACCGTAGAAAGACATCGTTGGCAAATCGAATACCCGGTATACCCAGAATATTTTCTCATAAACATTTCCCTTGTAGCGAGTTGTTCTTCGGTAATGTTTTTGAAGTTGTCCCTTATAAGGTGTAATGCCGTCCAGTAGATGTTTTCCTTACATCCTAATATCCTAAAGGCTATTATGAGACCTGAACAGGGCGTATTCCATTTATAACTCATAATTGTGTTTACTCCAGTAGGTCGGCTCCGTAAGATGAGGTATATACGTACGTGAACCCACGCGAAGTACATATGCCTCAAGTGGATGTATTTAAAAATCAGGGCATTGTAATTGTTGCCTTCGATCGGGTCCAATTCCCATTGATGAGTCGATTGTTGCTGCCTGTACACCGTGGCGTAAACGAATAACTGAGTTATTAAATAAGTTTGACATAACTAGATTTCTTTTTTTAATCGATACCTAGTTTGCTGATAACGAATTTGCAGAAACTTTGCGCTCGTTTTTAGTTTGAAAGCTTAGACATACTAAGATATTTAATTTTGAGTAATGCAACGCTCCACTATATTGTCACAATTGATGTCATATTATAATTTGAGATATCAATTTGTAATTAATTTGTTGTTTTAAAGTTATCATTTTGAAGTACTTTAATTTTTTTATGAGTAGGGCTAGACATATGAGTCTTAAAGGTGTTGGCTAAATTATACCCAAAATGTTATCAATGTCTAATGTGATTTTTCAAATGCTTTAGTTCTTTAATTTATAACAGTGAGATGTTACACTATTGTTCAGATAGGGCGAAATTAACAAAAATAGCTTTTACTGTCTAAGATAAAATGTTATTTTACAAATTCGATATTGTAACTGTTAGTCGATTGTTAACTTTACCTATAGACTTTCGATTGAACTTGAACTCTAAAAATATAAAAGCATACTATGAATTCAGTATTTTAAAAAATTTATATTATTTCATTGCAAAAAAAGTGAAAATAATGGAACAAATCTACATAGTACCATCGTAAAAACGTTAAACATTTTTTGAAATTAATTTACAACCTTTTTTTATTCATAATTTAATAAGGTTGTTCTATATCATTTTTGATAAAAGCATAAAAGATTTTCATTTATCAAAAAAGCCAGTACAGTGGGGACGGGACATAGTGGCGACGGAGAGGTCACAGGTCTTCAGATTTTATTATAACTGAAAGTTATAAAATCACTTTTAAATAAACGCTTCGATGCGAATCTGTGGACAGTATGTTCAAACCAGTTATAGCGGTTTACGAGATATTGTGGGACCAGAAATACTTAAAATTTAATATTTAGTCTTGTGCAGGGTGGATGCGGTAAGGGTTGATCGTCTATCTATAAAGATGTACTGTCATAGTTACCCATATATCGCAATTAACAATATAAAGAAAATATTTTCATTACCTGTTGACTGTTGATTCACTCACACATAGCAACCTAGAAACTGACAACGACCAAAATGTAAATTTATCCTATTTTTGGAGTTTTTTTAGAAAATTTAATAATATTATATTATAGAAATTTGAATATTTTGAAAAATATTTTTCAAATCAGATTCTACTTTTACATAACATTAACGCACATAGATATTTTATTGTTTAACAACTACTGATTTTAATAATCTGTAAAAAAAATAGTAAATTTTAAATTAAAAAATCTTTTGCTAACGATTACAGACAATAACTACATATACTAAGTGTTGAAAAATATATAGTAAGAAATAAGTAATAACTTGAATATGGAGTAGAACTGACTATGTTATAGTTTTATTTAAAATAAGTGTGACATTACAAATAATGTATATGAGTGCAAATGTATTCTGTGCATAAGGTTTATAAAATCATTTTAAATACAAGGTCGATATTTATATACAACACACCAGCACAACCAAAAGCATAAAAAAAATATGTATGAATGAATCGTGTTCATTTAAAAAAATTATAACGAAATAATTTAATATTTTTTATTAATTAAATGACGATTATAATGGTACTTTGATAACGACAATACGATTAGTTGTGTACGCCTTGGTTAAACGGTATTAGTGCGAAAACTATGTTGGGCGCCGCAAACTTCAACGGAACGCGAAGCACGTTCATGCATAAATACGCCCTCTTGGAATTTCTGTTCGTACTGCTGATACCGCTCGAAATTGGTCGATGTTCTCAGCTTAACAAACGAATGGATCGCTTTAAAACTGACATCTTCAAATATTTTTCTCATGTACCCGACCAACACTCCAGCGCACAGAATGGTCGCATCAATGTGTCTACCTGAAGCTCTCAATCTAGAGTCGACCGGAATTCCGCATTCGTCCGCAATGGCCGTTATATAGGATTTTTCGATATTGATATTCTGTAACGAATTGTTTGAGTGATTGTCCAAGGTGACCTTTGACATTTCATCGTTTTTCTTTAACGTTTCGATCACCCGTTTTTGTAAAGTGGGTAAGGTGGT